AACAATGAAGAGAATAAAGATAATATTGATATATATTATATTTTTCCCCAATACGGACTGTCAATAAAATCCTGATGGCTTAAGTCTACGGAGCTAACCCGGCCTATTTATGTTACAAGGTTTGATTAACGTCCAGCTAATATTAATCCCTTGAGTAAGATGCCTTAACCATTTGAGTGCAGTGTATTAACCCCTTGAGTATGATGAGTTTGTACTCAGAGGCGTAAGTCATCGTACTCAAGGGGTTAAGTCATAATAATCAAGGATTTAAGTCATAATACTCGAGGGTTTAAGTCGTCATACTCAAGGGTTTATGTCATCCTGCTCAAGGGTTTAAGTCACCATACTCAAGGATTTATGTCATCATACTCAAGGGTTTATGTCATCATACTCAAGGGTTTATGTCATCCTGCTCAAGGGTTTAAGTCACCATACTCAAGGATTTATGTCATCATACTCAAGGGTTTATGTCATCATACTCAAGGGTTTATGTCATCGTCCTCAGAGGGTTGTCATCGAACTTAAGGGGTTAAGTCATCGTACTCAAGGGGTCATTAACATTAACAACCAATTAACTAAATAGTAAAAAACAACAACAATAATAAGCAGGTGTTATAATCAAGTTCAGATTTTCACAAGACTGTCAACATTCCCACACTGATTCATGCTGCGTCTGACTGGCCAAGGGAGGTTGGGGTGGGGAGGGGAAGGAGTACGGCACTTCTGACTGCCTAAGCTGGTGACGATGGTGATGGAGTGCTGAGTGATGCTGACACGGTCGTAAAACAGCTCGATATAACGGCTATTAATGTTTGCCCAGTGTGTGTGTGTGTGTGTGTTTGTCCAGTGTATGTGTGTGTGTGTGTGTGTGTGTGTGTGTAAGTCAAAATCGCTGGGGCTATCGTCCATGCGTCAGCTGGGGAGATTCTAATCTTTTGCAAAACGTAAACACAGTCGACCTAACATTTTGTAGACATAACAACTCCTTTGGATAAACATAGCCGGGACTGTCCACTTAAAGTCAAAACATTAATATATACTCAACCAACTATCCATTTACACATACACATCCAATCATTTATTTACACTAACACAACCAAACCACCCATTTACACTAAAACAGCCAACCATTAATTTATATCCTGTTACCGCAAGCAACAATGAGTAGGATGACACATAAACAAACATTATGTTAGGCTGTAAGTCATGTCATGTTTATTGGGTGTGTAGTGTGTAGAGTACGAAGGTGGTGGAGATGAGAGGCCCAGAAGGAGGTTGGAGCGTGTGAAGGGAGTTTGTTTATGTGTAATTATAATCACCTGACTCAGCCATAGCTGACCAGCCAGGGGGCCAGGCTATAGGGTGGGCATTTCAGTATAGCTACCCATATCTTAGAGTTTCAACACGTAAGTTTAACTAGTACTTATTGTGTACACAGGTAGACTGTGTCCATTGCATCATTTATCAGTGTGACAATATAGAAATATGGTAAATTGAGTATACTCATTGTAAGTGTTAAGATTAGACTAATTACATAGCCAGGATTGTTATGTAAATATATATTGGATTAAACATTTATGTAGGAGTGCCTCTGTATGACTTATTTGAAATACTAAATGAATTGTATTCAACAGGTTTGACCGAATTATAATGTTTGTGTCCAACGTGACGAGTCTAAATATCCTTTAACAGCCTGACTGGCGGTTACATATCCATTACCCTTAACAGAACGTGGAACTATAGAGCTACCCATCAGATGCCTCTCACAATCAGACCAGTAACCCATAACACCATCAAAATTTTCACACCCAAGAGTCCTGATTCCCAATAACTCGTCCGGTTTTCCCACCTAACTGCAGATAAGTAAACGCATCTAGTCACATTACAATCTGGAAGCCATGTTAACCGTCCTTTAAGATACGTATTCGCAGCCTCAGTTAGTAGGAGATGAAATACACGTAGAGTCCCTTGCGAATCTGAGAGTACACACACACACACCCCCTGAGGATATCTTACACAATAACAAAATTATACCTCGCGTGGCAGACCTTCATAACCCAGGTCCCCATCGCCGAAGGAAATCACTGAATAGATGAACACAACTTTATCATAAACCACGTCAGAATAACATTAATAAACCCACATTAAAACGCAAAGAAAAAAGTTGGGGTATATACGTGTTAAAATCCTTAACCTCCTTCCCCACGAGGCCTCCAGGTAGATGGTGCCCGATAGTGTCCAAGGTGTCTGAGGAATTTTGCTCGCGACCATATAGTATCTATGTTGGTGCAACTATGTGGACCCATGCCAAGGTGCCAGCACCCATATGTTCACCTTGTCTTCACCTCGCCAAAATGTTGAGGGATTTAATTGTGGTGTGATCTTACCTCTAGCACAATGTCCTACCCAACCTAGCCTAACATAGGTCCACCGTGGAACTCCAGGCTTGCCATGAGTTGTAGAAATCTTCGGATTGGATTTTGTTGCCGCATTAATGATTGTATCTTTAATAATTTATGTCTGTGTTGGGAGAGTCAATTGCGGCTTCCCTCGTGAATAACCTTCAATCTGCCTTAAAATTAAATCAATTTACCGGACCGGCGGCATCAGGTACGCTGATTTCGTAACAAATACAAATCAGGAAATGTCACTTCCCAAGGGGTCGTCGTAAACTACCATTTTGTCAGGTTATAGCCTCCCATCGACTAGAGGTAATCTATAGCCGATCGTCTAGTCAAGTTGCACTACCGTCACCCAACCCCAGGTTTGGTAGTAAGCATTAAAATCCTCCATAATAAAACTTTTACGGGCAATTGCCTCACTAGGGAGTCAAGCTGCTCCACATGCAGGGGTTCATGAAAAAGGGATATAAATGGAACAAATAGCTACGTATATTGTGCCAAACTTCACCCTGCACACTACCTCACACAGGGGACAATATAAAGTAAACCCGCCACCACACAGTATACAGATCTCACACAAGATGGCAGATATCGCCAAGTGTCGAAGGAATTTTGGCACCAGTTGTACAGTACATACCACAACACTAGGCTGCTGCTCCAACAACAATTTTACGCTACTTCTTACTACGCTGTGAAGTCAACCATCTGTTCAACACTTCACAATCTTAGAATTTATTTTGATTTTAAGTCGGCAAAATGTAAATACCCATAATTAAAGAATAAATACAGTGTACGGCATGGTGTTTGTATTGTTTTTCACTCAGGAATAGAACTGCATTCTGATGTACGTATTCTTTTGTTTACTAATACTGTACGCCCAAGACACTGTATTCAAATAACAATTCAAGTTTGCCTGGCATAGAATATAACATATACAATTTTAATTTTTCACGGGACTGTTTATAATATCGTTCGTGACAAGAAGTACCCAACCTTTAGATGAAGGCGTCCAGAGGCAGCGAAAGCCTGACAAATGGCCCAGCTTAAGCCTCGGATCACCCCTGAACACCACACGGGGCCCACATCACTCCTCTATCCCCGCTATAGAGCAAAAACACAACACTCACACGCTTAACGAAATTGTGTATAGAAAAACCGCGATATATAGATAACAAAACGATTAAAAATACCAAAAACAGAAAAAAACAATACACAAGAATAATATATAATAGATACAATCCAGGCCAGACCCAGAGCTTAAGTACATGTCATAATGTAGATGTTGTAGCACCACCTATGACATCCCTAGTTTAGTCTCAGCCCCTAGCAACTGGACCTGGCCTGGTATAGGAGCTCACCGCCAGCCTTCCATCCTGGTTCTCCCGCCATTAGGTAAATTAACCCCATCGCGATAAATAAACTCCAGCTGAAAAACGCCTCACTCGTAACTCCAACACAGGACTACGGTCCCTCCCTCCCTCCCTCCACACACACACACACGTCCGCATTCTCTAAGATTCGTAAAATTGACCCCTTTTCCTCTGAACTGAGAACGGGAGAAGCTATCTAACCACGGCAACAATCTTTGTGTGTTTTGAACATGAGCCACAGTCTAGCTCCCCTTTCACACACTCTTGGTCACGGAAAATTTATAGACTAGAAAAATGTAATTTCTAGTCACGCCATTAATCCAACTCCTCAGTAGCAAGATGAAACGAACCAACCAACTGTAATCTAATTTAACAACTATAAATTATGGTTAGGTTAGGTTACGTTTGGTTGATCCATTTTATCACTGTCTATACAAACTAGACATCCTTACCTAAATCTACCACACAAATCTCTGACACGGATATATTCTAGTTGCCCAAGCTGGAGATACTGATTTTTTTTTTACTCACAGTATCTAACTCTGTGTATTTACTTTACCAGTAAGTTATATGGCGGGAGAATACTGACAATATTATACGCATAGTAACACACAAGGCACACTTACCGTACGCATGTCGATCGATCGCACCAATTTGCAGGAATTTTAGCATCAGCCACTTTCTAAATGATTAAACATTTACTCGAACTCAATTTACAATAAATTTCCAATAAAATTGAATAGTCTTAATTTATTCTGGCAGATGTAACTTCAAATTTTTACAAACTGGTGGACGGCCTTGCATGTTACTAGGAACCGTAACATTAAAACGTGCGCCACTGCAGGCATGAGGCTGGCAAACGATCGTCTTCCACGAATAAGACCTCATAATTATAATCTAATGTCAGTAATTGGCTATACACTGAGGCTAGAATTAAGTATCTGGGCGCGCCACAAACACGGCTAGAATTAAGTATCTGGGCGCGCCACAAACACGACAGACATACAAAGCAATCAAACTTTTTAGATAAATTAGGTTAGGTTTGCTTAGTTTGTTTTCTGTCGTTTTTAATTGCACGTCAAGATATTATACTCTCTTGCCTTAGCTGTGAACTGATAAGCCAGACGCTAGTGATTGCCTGTGGTGGCGCTGGTTTTATGGTTGGAGGAGCAGCTGTCACGAGGAATGGCTGACGGTGAGGTAAAGTAAACAGTGGTTGGGTACTCACTCGGGGTGCCGGCTGATGAGTCTCTCCAACTTCTCCTTGGCGGAGGCATAGGCGACGGCGCTGACGGTGTGCAGGTACTGGAGCACCACCGCCGCACGGTTCTCTAGGCCCTCAACCTCCTCCTCCAGCTCCTCGGCCTCCTCCTCCAATGCCTGCACGAGAAAGACAAAGTCACAGAATAAGAAAGGTTGCTCAGAATCACACACACACGTATAAACCCCCACAAATCACCAGTATTATTAAGGTAATTCAGTCCCGAACAAAGAAAAGAAAATCTTTCAAGTGTTAATAAAAAGTACAGGACATAAATACGAAATAAAATATCAATGAAAGGCAAATGAAAGCTGTTAGTATAAAATAAGATATTCCCGCACCCGCCAGTGATGATCGTTGATGTATTAATGTAACTGAAGCAATTATGTAATGCCTCATAAATTCTAACACTGAAATCCCACGGTAGGAAACGATGAGGCAGTGTTCTCGTTATTCTGTTTCATTTTCGCTTACAGTGGGATTTCATTGTAGTTATGTATTACTACTCTTCAATAACTAAGGTCTTTCGTACACTCTCCATTAGTTGATTATCTCCACTAAGCGTATATTTTACATTGGTAAACATTAAGTCATCAACAATTAAAAATTAATAAAAAGTAATTATCGACGTGGCGTTACTTTTAATTTACTGTTACTCGAATGTAATCTCAGGTTCGCATTTTATTGTAAGTCAGTGTGAAGAAAACTGCAAGTACAGCATATGTTTAACCTGTATTTACAGTAGATATTAGCAGGTAAATAGTTATTCTTTACGCTGCCCTCGTACAATAATTATTCGTAAAGGCAAAAGCCAACAGTCATAAATTCTTTGTATGTCAGCAGGTAAGACAAATGTGACAGCCAGATACGCTCTTATTAAATCATGTAACTATACATTTTCTCTGCGGAGGATATATAATATAAAATGCTACATCATCACTCATATTCTTGGAAAAAAATTGTAAGTTACAAGCAGCCAAAAGAAATTGTTTCCAGTATAAGGTCTATACCAACCAACCAATCAGAAAATAAGATCTATATCAATCAACCAATCAGAAACCCTGTTCGCCTACACCAATATCAACAGCGATTTTATCCTTAATCGCGCATCACAGTATTCACCATTGACTACAAAATCCTTTACATGTTTGACTACTTTAAGAGGTGTAGTCATGACCATGCAACACTGCCACGCGCCACGGTCCTTGGTAATAATGTACTCCCCAGGCTTACCAATACAACCAATAGTATTTTTTTAACAAGATAGTATTATTAGTTTGCACCATTAACTACAAAACGCTTTATGTAGTGTAAAGAACACATAAATTCAACTCCTTTTTTTATAGTTCAGGACCTTTCTCTTTATCGCGGTACATTTATATTATACAAATACTTCATGTGAACAAATGGCGGGCCGGACTGACTCACACATCATGGGGGCGGGAAGACCTGCCAAGAGGGTAACACTTTAAGCTCTCGTAATTACTTCCTGGTTTACGCAATCGCCAGACGAGGCGTGAATACTCTGTCACCGATTTGAGCGACAGATGATATAAAATGACGGCCGAAAGATTCCAACATGATTGCTGTCAAATACTGTACACATAACTCGTTAGCTCGCAGATGCTATTTAATTTTAATCTACTATTACAACCATAAAAGTTGATTGCAGTCTAATAACATGGCACAACCTTCTAGACGCATACAGCTCCCTGAGGCCACCCAGCTGTGAATGGGTACCTCGCTTTACAGTTAAGGAAATGAAGGCGGTCGAGTGGCCACGCTGTCTTGTGTGTACCAAATGAAAAGGGTTTAGCGAATAGTTTTGGAATTTAGTTTAAATTAACCAGTAAGATGCATTTATACTGTATACCTGTATGTGAGCTTGTAAGACTTTTACTGAATATCTATCTCCCCACCCATCCATCTCTCAGCTACAAGGAATATTCATCGTGCGACCCTTTTAGTATCTAGGTCATGGTCGCAGCCTCGTGCATTCCTATGTCTACATCACTGGCGAGGCTACAACACTACTGTACACATACAACTTGACTCGTAAAACTATTTTCTTTCTCTCCTTAGTTAAAAAAGCAGCCGCAGGACAACTGAGTGACATTTATATTTTCTTAGTTAAAAATAATGAAGGCACAAAGGACATAACTGACGACATTTATTTTTCTTAGCTACGAGGGGAAGTAGACGGGAGGGGGACCTGCAAACGGTAGTGAAGCGACCATAAGTGTACCGTAAAGTCAGCAGTAAACGTATTTTTAATTGCTATAAATTTAGTTAGACAAGAAAAAGGGCAAGGATTGTATTAATTTAACGATTATTGTGTACTAAAACAAATATAACAATTATATATATTGATTTTAATCCATATTGTTTTTAGATTTTATTAGGATAAAAAAGTGAATATTTTCTAATTTCTTGTAGTTACTATCAAGTGCAGAAACTGATATTATCCGTCCTTCAAAACGTTGCCTAATTAAACGCGATAATATAATAAAACACCAGACAGTAGCGCATATAGGGAGAGAGGGCACTCGGCAATGCCCCCCCCCCCTTTCTCACTTCTACTACTACTCCTTTGCAACGTCTTTCCTTGAGGGATGGAAACTCTCTACATTAGGGTGTGAGAGCAGTTGAGGTAAACTAACGGAAAGGGTCTGTCAGAGACGGTAGGACTCCAGATCTACAAGACCTTGAATTTACCCAAGGGAACTCTATAACTACATTACAACTCATGAATACTTCCAGTGATTCTGTCCCAGCAGATCATTTATCCAGCAGCAAGAACCGAGGCACATACATTTCACCCCTTTCCCAAAATGAATTGATTGAAAATATAGCAACAGTTTTGACAAGGGATGTTGTTACGAAGCTGAACTCCTCCATTTTTTCACGTCTAGCTAATGAGACAACAGATGTTAGCGGACAGGAACAGTTAAGTGTCTGTGTGAGATTTGTTATTCCGTCATGCTCAGTGCAGGAAAGATTACTGTGCTTCTCTTTAGTTTCAGATATGACAGGTCATAGCTTAACTACTACACTGTTAAACATTCTTCACAAATCACATTTCAACACACAGTTCATGGTAGGGCAAGGGTATGATGGTGCTGCTGCCATGTCAGGTGAATTCAGTGGTGTACAAAAGCATATAGTGGATAAGTGTCCCACGGCTACCGACGTACATCCAATGTCTCATTGCCTTAACGTTGTTTAGAGAAGCAGCAAATGTAAGAGAAATTCAGTTTGCACTGTCATGAGAGATGATCACATTCTTCGGGGAATCAAACAAGCGTTCAGCTCATTTGCAAAGACAACCGAGAGTTGTCCTTCTGACTCCCACAGTAGACTGAAAAAGCACTGCCCCTCAAGATGGGTTAAGTCTCAAGAGTCCACTCAAATCTTCAAAGCATTGTAAAAGCACTAGAAGACTTATCTGTATCAAAGGACTCAACTTTGGTGGAAAATTTCTAGCTTTTGTAAAGAGTATGACATCATATTCTTCCCTTGTAAGCTTGGAGGTTCTATCAGCTACTTTAAATGTAACGAGACCTCTATCTCAGAAATTGTAAGGTGTTGAGATGGATCTGGTGCAAGCTTTTGACAGTGTGAAGGACTGCATGGATGTATTGCAAATGTACAAAAATTAAGATACATTCAGAAGATTATTTGAGAATACAGAACAAAACTGTGGGAGAGACATTAAAGCCCCAAGAAGTGTAGGGCGACAACAGACCCGGTCTAATCCCCCAACTGATGACGCATATTCCTATTATTGTACAGGAACATTTTTTTTTTGCCTTTCATCGACACAAGTTATGCTGCAACTGAAAGAGTGTTTCACTTCAAAGCAACGTTCATGGTAGCTCTCCAACCTGATGGCTTCTCTTTAAATAAGTAGAATGTTTTCAGAAGTAAGCGAAAAATGAAATGGGTATCTTTTTACAAAGCCTTATCTTGAGACTCGCCCCCCCCCCCTTTCCATGAACATATGCAGTATGCGCCACTGACACCAGACTACAGTATATTTAAGAAAGTACGTATTTCTTTATTCCTAAATCATGTGGTATTAAAAATTATCTGCTTTCTGTAATTGAGGATCTTAGCTACTGAAGCATGTTAATAAAGTATAACCTTGACACAGTAAATTAGAGTTTTTGTTATGTAAACGATAAATGATCCATAGTGCTCTTGGAATAGTAATTAACAAAATGAATATATTAATAGTCATATTCAAAGAGGGAAAAAGAAAAATATTTGTCTTCTAAGTGACAAAAACAACTTTACTGTATACAGACTCACACACAGCTGCAGGTAACACTAAACAGGAAAACTTTGTCCAGGAAGGTAGTAAATTCCCTCGATGATAACTGTGATGAATAAAATATGAGGGAGGGAGAGAGGAAGGAAGGTAGGTGAGAGTGTGGGATGGAAAGAGTGTGGAAGTGTGGGAGGGAGGGAGGGAAGGAAGGCGTTAATATCCATTCCTCCTGACCTGCTTAAACTTCACCTAAATGATATATTGTTGCTAAAAGTGTCGAGAGAATTCAAATCAAAACAGAAACAATTATGTCTATCTCTAAATTCTTAACTGTTGATGACTAATTTATTTACAATCTAGAATTCACGATTAAAGACCTTAGTTGTAATATACCAAAGACGGTTCTAATGCAATTTTGAGTCGTTGATGGATTAGTGTAATTAGTACCGTTATTTATGAAGCGCCTAGAAACTTGACATATTAAAGCATAGTAATAATAACGTCAGCGTCTTATTATTCTAATTGACCCAAACATATTTTTTCTTCAATCAGCTTACTAAAATAATAATAATAATAATAATAATAATAATTATAATAATAATAATTACAATAATAATAAACTAGAAAAGTAGGTCGTTTCTCCAGTAAATTATTAGTTTGACCCAGTAAGTGTTACATTTTAAGCGGATGTAAATATGGCTGCATTAACCCCACAATTCCTTTTATTTACAGCAGGTGCATCTGACCTACTAATCTATTTATTTATCAGGAAAATAGATTGTGCCCCCCCCCAAAAAAGGCCAGGAATCCGAAAAAAAACAGAACTCCTATAATCTGTAATAATTTTCTGGCTTTAACAGTTTATAAGCATTAATGCAAAATACATTTGTTTCATCAAAATTTATTATCCAATTGGAGGCAACATGTTAGAGTGAAATAATATATGATTTTTCGCCCGAGAATAATTTCTATAAATACGATATAATGCATTCTGGGTAGACTTACCGCGTAAAGTGTGTGTGTGTGTGTGTGTGTGTGTTCCTTTTTCTACGAGTGTTTGTTTAAATTTTCAACGTGTTAGTGTGTCTAGATATTTATATTGTTTATTTATCAAGCAAGTGAAAGTAGGGCGTGGCAAACCTCCCCTCCCTCTCTAATCGGCTGACACTCTAGCGCAGTCTGTACACGAACAGTGAGTCACCAACTCCACACCTGCCCTCCCACAACACCTGCATTGACACCTGCTGGCCCTGTACACGTATCTCTCCACAAGTGTCTTTTAACATGTATCATTGCACGTGTCTCTCAACATGTATACATTTGCCCGTGTCTCTCAACATGTAATTCCTGTACACACATTTCTCAACACGTGTCTTAGTACATGTATCTGTAACACTTATTCCTGTACACATGTCTCCTCTATGTGTCTGTATTTTTAGCTACAATGTCCTGGCCTGACCTAACCTTACCCCCTATCTCGCCACCTCCTCCCCCACCATGATAACCCAATGACCTCACTACCTGCAGCCGAGTAATCACGCAAAAGCCTGAATACACCGGCACTGTCTCTGTCTGTCTGTCTTTAAATTTCCCTTAAACTCTATCCCCCTTCTCAAACCAGGAAACCTCCCGCACCATTTAATTTCGCGAACACACTCACCAAAACACTATACTTCCCATACACATAAATAACTGTACTATATCACTTAAAATACTATTATCCCAAAAGCTTAACTAATGTCTGTAATACTAGGCACTCGAGGGAAAGAAAAATATACGTCATAGTTAAGTAGTAATGGCGTACTTATTATTGTATAGTGTAAGTATTTTTCAGTATTCTATGTGAATTGTCACGATAATTTTGGTGTGAGCGCGTGATGGCCGGCGGTCACACTATGGGTGTGGTTACTGTGTTGTGATGGTCGCGCGACGTCTGCTGACTGGGTACATTTTCCCCCCTCAGGCCCCGATGTGGGTCAGTGACCTGTGCCCGGGTGGGCTATTCCCTGTAAAAAAAATATATATTTCCGTGCCACGATTAGCTCACTGGCGTATTTCTGACCACATCCCATTGACCACATCAGTCATTGAATTCTCCCACACACCTTCCCTCCACCACCACCATCACACCCGGGTCACGTCTGTCTATCTTTCCCCCTCACCACCACCACAAATGGTCACGTTCCTCTCTCCCTCACCACCAAAATCAGTCACATTTCCTTCCCTCTTTCCCCCTCACTTACCTAACCCCCCCCCCCCACTTGCTCGCCAAAATTTCAACTCAAGAGATCCCAACCAATCCCGTTAAGAGACACAGAGGGTAGATAAACAGTGAGCTTAGCCTATCCTTGCTGGCCACAAAAACTCTCCCTCGCCAATCCTCGACCCAACAAGCCACGGATATTTTCGTTGCAAAATACGAGTTGAACATTCTGGCAAAGTTCCCGCCAAGTGAGGGTTTTTCTTGCACCAAATCTCACGCGGTTTTTGGATTCGGTAATTTGGTAAACAAACTAATTCTTAAAAAATATCATGTTTTCATTAATTCGTACACAAATGATTCAATGATTAGCAAAACATTTAATCTGGTGTTTCTTATATAGTGGTTAAAATGAGGTGGGTTAATTTCGGAGAATAAAAGCATTACTGTAATTTGGCTGGCGACTCACTACGGGGTTTAACTCGGATTAAAGACACTCCGCACTTGTTACACACTCTCGGGCACTCCACACTCACACGTCCTTATCAGGTTACTCACTCCTAACACGAGACACTAACACAAACATTAGGAAGACACTCTGGAGACAGCCAAGATGCACTCAGGCATATACATACACAATACACTCAACATAAATATCAAATATGTACTCAGACACTCCCAGAAAACACTCAAGCTATACATTCATAATACGCTCAAGAGAAGCTCAGACCACACACCCACGATACACTCAAATACATCTACGAGACACTCAGACTCCATATCCATAACACACTCGGGACCCAATTGGGCACACGCGCGCGCACACACACACACACACACGAGTTTACACCTTCGAAATAGGAGATACACTCAGGGCTACAGAAGCACTAACAAAATATTGTACAGTATGTGCCTCCAAAAAATCACTATCCCCCAAAAAATGAAAATGCACTGGCTAACCCATACAAGCGTGAAAAATGGGCATACAACAATGATGATGAATGTTATGAAATGAATTATGAATTAATAATATAAGAAAAAACACGTTTACACGGCACTTTACCTGTAAGGTCTCTTTGACGATCTCGATGTCAGGGTCATCTTTGGTGGCACGGTCAAGTTCTTCAGTAAGCTGCTGCTCCAGTTGGTTGAGGCCAACTTCCAGACTTCGCACAGCCACGTCATAGTCTTGCCACTGACTGATGAGTGATGCCAAGGCCTCACGTCGGCTCTCCATGCTTTCCAAAGCAACTTTCCATTCTCTGGTGATTTCCAGCAGCTGATTGCCAATGTTTACGTGACTTGATCTGTTTGCCTGCAGGAGAAGTTCATTAGCCTGTTCCGTAAAATCATTGATGATGTAGCTCTGGTCGTACAGACGCACACGCTCTTCATCAATTCTCTGCAGGTTAACTCTCAGTGCTGCCACATTAATGGCACTATCATCAGTCAGGGTGTTAACATTGGCATCCTGTATGAGGCCTCTTGCCTTCTCTACGATCTTGTTGTATTCCAGTGCCAGCTGAACATTCTTCTCCAGCTGAGCCTTGTGATCTCTAGCAGACTTGGTAACATTATCAAGATCCTTAGTAAGCTTTGAGAGTTCATCTGTGAGTTCATCTTGGTCTTCACTGGTCAAGGATGGCACAATCCTCTCGGCAATGTTACCCAACTGTTCGAGAGATTCTCCAATCAGGCCTTCACTTGAGAAGTAAGCCAAGTGATCCTCCAAGTCTGACCGCACATTATCATAGTCAACACCATCCACATCAATAATGCGCTTTTGGGCCTCAATGATCCAGTCGTTGATTTTGGTCGTGAAGTCTTCGTAATCGAGACGCAGCATCTTGGCATCCTTCAGGTACTTGAGTCGGGATTCCAACTCGAGTGGGAATGTTGCCACGATCATATTTGCCTCAGACAGTCTTTCCTGTAGGATGTATGGAAGACCAATTTCAGATTTGGCTCTCTCCTGGATGCTTCGAATTTTCTTTAGTTGCTCCTCAATGTCTGAGGCAAGTTCCTCGTGGGTCTCCAGCTCCTCATTGGCGCTCTCCACCTCTAAAGTCAGAAGAGGTCGGGTCTTCAACTCAGACTCTTGCTCTAACAGCCACTCCATTGTCATGTTGAGTTCAATATGAATTCGTTTATGACTCTCGGCCGAGACCTCATGTTCCGAGTGCCTCTTCTCCACCTCACGACGCAGAGCACTCAGGTTGGTCTTCACTACCTGTAACTGCTCCATGATGGCATTGTGATCCTCCACAGTTCCTTCCTCACTTATGATTGATCCTTTATCCTGTGCAGATGTCAACTGAGCCTCACATTCCTGAATTCGTGTTATTACATCACTGTATTTCCGTATCTTGTTTGTAACCGTCTTCTCTGTCTGTTCAATGTCCTTGACAACAGTAGTGTATCGGTTGGTAAATCCAACGATCTCACTGATAAGAGAGGCATACTGCTGTCTGACGAGGATCAGCTGTCGTATCCTTGTTATCTGTTTTTCCAGTACTTGAATAAGCTCCTGCTGTTGCTTGACCATGTCACGCATCTCACCTACACTCACCTCAGAACCAGTACGCATGTCATCAAGGCTCTTCCTGAACTCGTTAACTTTTCTGAGAGCCTCCTGGTATGATACTAGGAGATTCTGCGCATCTTCTATGTTCCGACCAACTGGTCTGTTAAGAGATTTGATTTCTTTTTGTATAGAAGAAAAGGTCTGAGCACTCTGGACGATGCGTTCTGTGTTACGCCGCTGGAGGGTGATCGTGTTGCGGACCTGTTCTGTCTTGTCACTGATGGAAGAGTTCACTCTATATGTTTTGTCTTGCAGATCTCGAACAATTTCTCCCAAGCTGAACTTGTCCCCCTCAGTAAGGTAAGGTAAGAGGTCCTCACACAGATTGGCAATGCTGGTTACACGCTTGTTTGCTGACTCACGTTCATCTTCCATTGTCTCAAGTTTCTTGAGATGTTCAGCCAGAACTTCAGCTGTATTGAGACTTTTTGTTTCTGTCTGCATAGCAACCTCTGCCTGATGAAGCCATTTCAGTGCAATATCAAGTTCTCTCTCAAAATCACGCCTTGCTTCAAGTAGGTTAGAGAGACGGTTTAGAGTCCCAGACATTGTCTGACGAAGATTGTTCATTTTGTCATCCACTTCTGTTAAGATGTCGTGTAGTTCGTCCTTCTCTTCTTCTGTACAGTCCTTGAACAGTGCACTGCCTTGTCTTTTGAATCCAGCAACACTGGTTTCTGCATATTGCTTCAGCTCGGTGTCAAGCCTCCTGTACTTCTCAACTACACGCTCTGCATTTTCAGACTTGAGAGGCAGAAGGTCTGGACAGACAACTTCATCAGTTTTACCACTGATCCATGCACGTACTTGATCTTGTGACTGCTCAAAGCTGCGTCGCTCCTCATAGGACACGATCATGTCGTTCTTAATTTCCATGACTGTGGAATATAAAACACCTTGTTCTTCTGCAGTTTTACTGACTATGGTTTCAAGCTTCTGTAGTTCAGATTCTTCAACATCACCCTTGAGGTTTTCAATGGCCTTTTCAAGCTGAGCCAGAAGCATTCTCTTAGCAGATACTTCCTTTGACAGATCCTATAACACAAAAACACACATACAGTTAATGCAATGGTAGGTGGATAAATAAATTAATAAACTTACATATAAAGACATATTATACATCATACTATCTTTATCTTCTTTGACAATTCTCAGCTCATTAGACAAACCTCCTAATCAAAACCAGTAATGTTTGATAAGAGCCTCACCAGAAAAATCACTTCTCACATCTGAGCCATACAGGATTCAAACCCAAATCACAGTAGTAAGAGAGAAAGCACACCAATTCTGCACTACCAACTCCAACAGGTAATCAATTGCAGCACTCAAAAGGCTCTGCCATTTCCATATTATTGTTGGTGCTCACTTTGCATCTGTATTTTTCTGGCTAAATAAACTGTTTCAATTGCAATTAAAATGTTTTGAATTAATCAAATAATTCTTTTGAAATCATATATCTAAAGAGCAAAATCCCGACTTAAAATTTAAAGGGAATAATAATGTGATCAAAATATTATACACTCTACTTACATTGATTTCCAGCAACTTGACTTCTGTACTCTTGCTGGTGTAGCCTAGAAGTGGCAGGTCCCTTGTATACTCCATCTTCTCCCTCACCCACTTCTGCAGGTTGAGGATATCACTTTTGGAGTCCTCGTAGCCTTTGCGGGTCATTTCGATCACCTGCATCTTCTTCCCAACGCGCTTCTGAAGATCTGAGTATTTCTTCTCAACAGACCTCAGCTGTTCCTCAACTTGTTGGATGTCTAAACTTGAGAGCTCCAACATAACGTCACCAGCCTTCATCTTGAGCTCTTCCAGTTGTGTGCGAACGTCTTCAAACTGATTCCACAGCTGTTGTACTTCTGCAGATTTCTTGAAGGAATCTATACTGTCGCTCTTGTCACATTTTTCCAGCTGTTTGATAATTGTGTCAAACCATCCATAAACAAGTTGAAGCTTACTCCTGTATTCCTCAATCTGTTGAATGATAACTGTACGTGAGTCAATGAGGTTCGTTACTTCCTCTTCCAAGCGGTTCATTTGTTCTCGTATATCAGAATCAGCCATGTCAGGAGCCAAGTTCATTTGTTTTATCTCCAGTTCATCCAGAATGTTCTGCTTCTCCATAATCTTGGAGCGAAGGTCGTTCATTTGGGAGATCTCCAGTGACGAGGCTTCTGATCGCAGCTTTGCAGGGCGGCTCTTGAAGTCTTGCACAATAATGTGGTATTCCTCAATCCACTTCTTGATGGCATCATTCTGGCGAGCCAGCTCCTCCAGTTCACTGACGGAGTTACTGATGGTTGAGACTCGTGCCTGCACCTAAAAATCATAATATAGAGTAAAGTTTAAAACTCACAACACAAACCACTGGTTGTTTTGTCAATAATATAGACCAAAATTTCATGTTTCCTCATACTGTACAATGTTCCACTGTCACTCGCAACAGTGGGTTTAAACCATTATTTTATTAAACTGGTGAAGTGCACTGTATGATGTGATTATATTCTGGAGACACAAGTTTCATTACAGTTGCCTGACTTAAGCATAACAAAACAGACAGGTACACACAGAACAAGTGAAGTTCTAAATGCAAGGGTTGAAATCTCTGATATCACATTACATTTAATGGCAGAAGATTCTGTGTGAAGTTTATATTATACTCGGGAGTAGCCATTGTGTTTCTTTCTTTTTCTTACCTTTTCACAGCTCTTCCCACTATAGTACAATGAAGGTAACTGGACTGAAGAGCAAACATACATATACCTTTAATTTGATAATTTATTCATTCAACTATGGTATTCCCCTTCTACAAAATGATCCCAGATATCTGTCTAGATTATGTCTGTTTGTTCATACAACCCAGCATTTGACAGATACAGTATTTATCTTACACTTTATTAAATACCTTTGTTTAACTTGTTGAATAAAATGCTTAGTCAATACTTTGAAAGGAGTATTTTATTAAACCTTCAGCATTGTCCTTACCTGTTCAATAAGGTCCTCCAGCTTAGCTCTGACAACAAGTTCATTCTCTGGGATGGACTGTGAGATGACATCCTGTGGGGATCCCGGGCGAGAGATAGAAGCTGTGGCAGCCTCACATGCCTGCACAGCAAAGGCCAGCCGAGATTTCTCTCCCAATAGTTTGCTGTGCCACGACTTGTAGGAAAAAAGATAAGAGATAAAATCATTGATAAGGTGAAGGACCTGTCAAATCTGGTTAGGAAGTCTTATAAATGATCAATAACTTTCCAGCACATGTATAATCAATAATAATGTATATTACTCTTAATTAAAGTACTCTGAATTCCTACTTACTCTTGTACACTCCAGATGGTACTTGGCCTCTTCCATTGTTTGGATAGTTGTGTCATTCTCCTCAGCGATGGTTGGCTCCCACTCTTCTAAGTTCTTCTGGATAGACTCTAACGTAGCTTCATATTCTTCAAACTTGGCAAGGGACTCATTCAAGCGCTTCTGGATGTGGTTGGCTGTACCTAAGAGAGAATTATAGCTCTCCTGAATGTTGTGCAGCTGACGTTCGATCTTGTCCTGAATCGACGGCACAGAACCAATGTAACGATCAATCTGTCTGCGGCCTTTGTTCTTCACCTCATCAAGAGTCTGCTGGTACTCGACAATTTCCTCTAACTCTTCATTATGACTCTCGATCTGTTCTTCAGTTTGTTCTCTGTTGCAGATATAAAGGGAATTTTCAGCCATTAACTGGAAGCTGATCTGAAGGAGCCACTTCTCGGTGTCCTGCAGGGCTCCCTGATATTCACTAAAGTCTGAAATTTCTTCCTCTAGTTTTGTTATGATCTCATTGCACCGACTGTTGAGTTTCTCCCACTTAGATTCAGATTCTTCCACACGGTTGAGGATCTCATCATCAGTCGCCCAGTCTGCAAACTCTTCTGCGTCGTCCAAAAGGTTCTGAACCTCCTCTTGTTTCTCCTGGATCTGGAGAGCAATGTGTTTGTAACGCTCGAGGAAGGTCCTCATCTCTGCTACTTCACCCCGAGAGTCAGGAGTCTCCACCAAGAGCTCCTCAACCTCCACAAGCCAAGCATCCAGTCTTGTGTGTGCCTCACTAAACTCTTCCCAGCGGTTTACAGCACTCTGAAAACCGGAATAATTAAGATTACTAAATGTTTTCAAATCATTTAAAGCATCCTTCTCTTAGTACTGTACAAAATCAGAATTCTATACTGTACTGTTTAAGGAATATAACCGTTGTCTATTGATCCACAGCAGTTTGATCACCAAAATCAGGGTTCACTAACCTTGAGCTTGGAAAGGGTAGAATTGAGTGAGATGTTCAGGTGATCCCATTCGTTGCGGAGCTTTGAGAAGTCCTGTCGGATCTGGTCCTGCTGCTCGACTTGAGTGAGGTTGAGGGCGCGAGTGTATGCCTCAGCCAAGACACCCAACATGTGCTGGCCTTCAGACAGTCGTGTTGACACCATTTTTACCGTGTCTAGTTTGTCTCGTACCTAGGTAAACATGTTTAGTGAAACACAGTTTCAAAATTTAAACTCTGAATAGAAAATGTCAGTTTCTAAATGTCGAGATTTTTTTTTAGTCTTATGTGATACCCAGTACTTAAATAAAAAATAATAATTTCCCCATTAAACATACAAGTACAGTATTTTGTTATCCACTCACCGATGCCTCAGAACCAGTGTCATCCTGGCAGTCATTGACAGTGCCCTGAGAACGTCCTAACCATCCCTCAAACTCTGTCTTGGCAGTAACAAATTCTGTGTGGTCAGTCAGAGTTTTCTGAGCAATCACAACAAGACTCTGTGAATGAGGATAAAGCAAAATAGGTAAATTATATTACAGTAATGTCTTCATTTTGTGTTAGAGTAATATCACTTAAGAATGAGAACTATACTAGAATTTGTAGGTGAAAATTCATGATCCATCACATCACTTACAAAATCAGATGACCTTAATCTATCTACCTTAGTCACCTACTGTACTCTATAAATACAGTACTACTGAAGAAGTAAAGGGACAATTCTCTATTCCTGGCAGCTCTTTTTAATGCTCTATAATGGAAATCCGTTAAAATCCATTGCAACGTGCAATAGATTAATTAATCTTAATTACCCATGACCACAGATGAAATAAAAGGGAAATTTCCTTCTCTTAACGACAGTTCCACAACACCTTCTCAATGCACTTCCAGGTGCTGCCTCGTCCTCACTATCCCCAAGTAAACATTCCTTATCACTGAATGCTATTGCTTCTATTGTCAATACTGTAGTGTACAGTACATCCATTACCTTTCTTCTGCTCCCACAAGCATAACAGTGAATCAATGGTAAATGAAGTCTCAAGACAAAAAACAAGAATGATGAGGAGTTGAAACAAGTATAAAAATGCTTTAATTTTTCATGTTGATCTATGCTATATTATTTGTTCTCACATACCGGTAACCTCACCTCATCTGAAATCTAGTTTCCTTAAGGTCTTACACATGAGTCAGGAACCATTGTGGTTCATACCTGTAAGTTAGTGAGGACGTTGGTGTAGGTGGACTGCAGCTGAACGGTCATGTCCCTGATGGGTGTGTGGGCGCTGTAATCCATCAGCACTTCACAGCGGTCGTTCAGCACCTCCAAGTGGACCTTCTTGCTGTTAGCCTCCACCAGAAGCTCCTGTAAAGACGTCTTAATTTGGAGGGGGAGAAAGTGTCAGTCTTATCCTTCATTAATAGGTGTGTGTTTAGGTGGGTGGCAGGGGATGGTTGGGTGTGAGGTGCGGTGGGTGGCGGGGGATGGTTGGGTGTAAGGTGCGGTGGATGGTTGGATGATGGGGTGGGGGTGGCAGAGGATGATTAGGTGTGAGGTGCTGTGGGGGATCAGGGGATGTGAGGTGTGGTGGGTGGCAGAGGATGGTTGGGTGTGTAGTGGGTGGCAGGGGATGTATGAGTGTGAGGTGCTGTGGGGGGATCAGGGGATGGTTGGGTGTAAGGTGCTGTAGGGGATCAGGGGATGGTTGGGTGTAAGGTACTGTAGGGAATCAGGAGATGGTTGGGTGTGAAGTGTGGTGGGTGGTAGGGGATGATTGGGTGGATGAAACCAGCATGCTTGGGAAGACCAACTTCTTCAAAAGTTATTATTTTTTTAACTATATTCTGAACATCAAGTTATGAGCATTAGTGTCAAAAAGAGACATTACCACCAAGTGCATAAGCAATATGTTAATCATCACTAATAAAACAAAAACTAACTTTAAACAAAAGTATGAATTTTTTTTAGGTAAATACGTGGAATAAGTTGGTAAAAATATAAGCACCTTTTTTTCAATATCGCATTTGATGAAAAATAACTAAAATACTAATGAACTTTATATAATTATGTATGTCGTACCAATATTAAAGTAAATTAATACTCTGGCAGTACAACAGATAAATATGAAAGATACGTTTTTATTGGGGGTAAACAGAGATATTCTTAAACAAGACAAAATTCAATGGTGGTTGCTGGTGATCAATAGTGTTTGGTTGGTCCTGAGAGAGAGGGAGGAGGAGGGTGATGGAGGTAGTGGGACCCTGTGAGACAAGTTAAGGAAGAACAAGTTGAAAAATATTTGTGAAGATGTTGAAAATAATGGTGGTTTCTTGCAGTAGTTTCCAGGAGTGAAAAAGAAAGGAATGAGGAAATATTTGCAGCATAGTTTAGTTTCTAGGAGTGAGATAGAGAGAATAAAGAATTTTGGGCACCATAGTACTTTAGTTCTCAAGACTCAGGAGAGAAATGGGGAAATGAGAAAATTTTGGCAGCATAATAGTTTAGTTTCCAGGAGTGAGGGAGTCAGGATGAGAGGAAATAGTGGAAATTAACAATAGTTTCTGAACTCGGGAAGACACGACATAAAAAAAACAACACACATAAAAAACCTGAACTGGCACAGAGTGGATGAAAAATAATATGAGACAAGAGGGTCAATGGGGGAGGGGGGGGTCATGGGAGGGCATTTCTTAAGACACAAAAAATAATTCTACTGATAAGGAAGAAAATATGGGGGCAAATCCGTCAGTTTTGAATTTTTTGAGTCAACACACAAGGAAAAATTTGGGTATGACTGATATATTTTAATCACAAAAAATATTAAATAATGACATTAATTATATGCAAAAGAGAAAAAATAAATAAAAAAAGGCACATGAGAACAGTACGTAATGCCTGGGTACATTAACAACAGCATATTATCATTTATTCAATCCAAGCAGACTTTAAATATCTTTCTAGGGTAATTAAAAAGCTTTAGATATCTAATGTAGATTCTGGATGCTACTGCAAAATTTAAGCGTTGAGACACATACAGTACTCGCTCACAGATTAATCATTTGCCAGCTGAGGACATGTGAGGCGGTTCTACTTTTAATATAAGGACAAAGGAGACAATTTGAAAGTTACATAAGGAAGGATAAACAGAGATAATTAAAGGGTCAGGAGGTGAAGCCAAGCAGGAGGTTAGATTAAGTTAGGGTAAGGTAGGTTAGGTTTGGGTTAAGCAGATTAGGTTAGGGCAGGGCAGGGCAGGTCAGGTTAGGGCAGATCAGGTTAGGTTAAGATAGGTTAGGTTAGGGCAAGTTAGGTTAAGATAGGGCAGGTTAGGTTAGGTTACACCACAAGAAAACGAAGTGGAGGAAAAAAACTGCAGCTTTTCACGAGATGTTAGTAAGTCGAGCTAAAATTATATTTGATTAATGCCGTCTACACTGCAATTATTACTTTTGCTTCCATAAGCTGCTAGTCTAAGAGATAACATGAGATCAATTATACATAATGAAGCAAATACTTGTACATTATGAAACAACTGAGATACAATACAAGGAAGTCAACTACTGAGTATGATTGTTAACAGAATACATCTAATATAAAAGCAATGTCAAGAACTAATACAAGAAGGCAGTGTAGACAAGAAGACAACGACCAATGAGACATGCCCGACATACCTTCCATTTTTCGAGGTCCTCTGGAGTGGGTTCCTCGGGCTCCTGGGACACCTGCTGTTGGAAGGACGTCAGCCAGGTGTTCAGTTCTTTGTAAGTCTCGGTGAACTCATTCCAAGTCTGCAGACACTTCTCCATCGTGCGGCGAATGTCCATGCTCATTTGCTGAAGGGATTCCCACTCCATCCGCAGGCTGTCCGCTTCATTTCGGAGGGGGTCGTGGCCTTCGCTAGATGTGGAATTTCGTATTGATTTGTTGAGCTCAATGGCTTTGTCGATGAGTTCTTCACCTTCAGGAAACTCTTCTGCAATATCCTCCTGCTGTTCCTGTTTCTCTATTACCTCTTTTTTCTCCCCGTGACTGTCTGCATACTGCTGTATTGTGATGCGAATCTTTCTGAGCCAGTCGTTGGCCTCTACAGTTGCATTATGATAGGCCTCGTGGTCTTTGACATACACCTCCAGGGTCTTGATGTTGTCAATGACTATTTTCTTTATGGAATCATATTTGTTGAGGCATTCGTCCACTTCTTCCTGGGAGTATCCTTCGTCATTTCTCTTCGCTGCAAGACGCTCCACCATGTCAAAGTGGGCGGCTATGTCACGCAGAAGGATACGGTATTTTTCTAAAGCAGCTCGCTTGTCACTTAGTTCACTGAAGAGTACACCTTGCTCGCAGGCCTTAGTGTTGAGTTCATCCAGCCACTCATTGACAGTGGTGTGCATTTTTTCAGTTTCCTCTCGTCGTGAGAGTTTGGTGCTAAGACTTTGTTGCATGCTGTAGATATCAGACATGAGCTTTTCAAATTCTTTGCGTACATTTTCAGTATCTTCCTGGATTCTAGCAGAGCCAATTTGCTCTGTATTCATTATGACGCGTTCCTTCAGTTCAAGGACGTATCGTAGTTTATGCTGGCCTTGTTCTAATGTGTTTTTAATGACTTTCACGCCAGCTAGTTTTTCATCGAGCTCTTCCAAGGAGGTGGTCTCGCCAGCACATTCATTGAGCTTCTTACGAGTGCGATCAATCCAATCGTTGCACTCGGTATATAACTGATGGTGCTGCTGATGCTCCTGGAAGTGCATCTCCAGGCGGCGCATCACCTCCTTGGCAAGTGAAAGTAACGTGTTGTACTTCGTAGTCAACTGAGTGACGGCATTACTCACCCGTGAGTCAGCACAGGTCTCGAGTAAGAGCTGGGCCCGCATGTTCAATAGATCCAGAGTTTTCTGCCAGTCAAATATCATCTGTAGTGTGGCCTGGAACTCTTCCAGCACTGACCGCTTCTCCTGGACTGTATTCTGAAGTTTGTTGTAGCTCTGTACTTTACCATCCATTTTGTCCAGCCATACTTCACACTCTTTGAACTTGTCTTCATATTCTGTCCACTTGACAATACCCATTTCCAGGAGGTTTTTCGTCTTTCCAACCTGGCCCCTGAAATTGAAGAAAAACTTGTAATCATGGAAAATCTTATAATATCAGTGACATATAATACAGTTCAGTATTTTATACAAATAAGTTCTTAAAACCAATGCAATAAGACAAAAAGGAGTTGTAATTATTGATTTAATTTTAATTAATAAATTAATTAGTAGAATTACTTACAGGAAATTATCAAATTCATCTTGCAAGAAAGCCACTTCTTCTTCAATGACTTCCTTATCTTCATCGTCTGCCAAGTTACACGCCCTCTCTGCCAGTGAGAAAGCTTTATCTAACTTCTTCTGGCCTTCCTCTTGTTCATTCTGAAGTAGTTTGAGTATTGTTGCTTTACCGCTGATTGTGTCCTTATCACCCGTTGGCTCGGCACACTTGGCCATTCTTTCTTTTGCAGCTCTGAGCCAGTGCATGAATTCATTGCCTGCATCTACAAACTCTTGATGGTGGTCGACCATATCTTTCTGTTTCTCCAGCAGTTCCTTTGCCTGTTTGCTAAGACTATGGTACTTACTGGAAATTTCAGATGCATTATTCTTCACTTGACTTGCTTGACTTTCTGTTGCTTTGGATGTAACCGATTCAATCATTGGCTCAAATGACACAATGTCCTGCACGATGCTGCTAGTTCGACGGAGATTAGCCTTGCGTTCTCCGATGCTCAGGGATGAAATTCTGTGGGATAGACCAGAGCCTCTCTTGCTGGAGGCAGCCACTGCATTGGTGAGTTGTTGAAGTTTAGCTTCCCTCTCACTGATCCACTGCTGCATGTTGGTGTATGAAACACTCATATCAGCCCACTGAAGAAGGTTGGTCTCCAGAGTTACTTTAGCATTGGACAACTTTTTAATGAGTTTGTCCCAATCCCCTTGTAGTTCTTCAAGAGACTCATTAATGATGTCACGACCGTCAGAACGAGTGTTGCGTAGTACCTTCTCACCCCAGTTGACCGCTTGGTGAACTAAGGCTTGTCCTTCCTCCTGTTTCTTCATCAACGACTGAATCATCTCCAAGTGTCGCTCGAGACTCTCCTTGCCCGAGTCAGGAGACATGTCCATACAGTCCCTCACAACCATTCGAGCATTATCGATCCATTCTTTGGCCTTGTTGAGATAGGACTCATACTGGCGATGCTGGTCAAAGCTGGCCTCTACCTTTCTCAAAACATCTTTAGCCATGTTGATTAAAACTTGGTATCGAGAATTAAGATGACGCATCTGGTTCTGAACAAAAGCGTCGAGGTGAGTTTCTTGTAATGTTTGGGAGAGTTCGTTCAACTTTTTCAGCTGTGCTTGGTGCTTCCCAAGACTCTCGAGTAGGTCCTGAAATGAGAATTTAAATATTAGCTACAATGATATGATCCATCCGTTTCACCCTAAAAAGATAACATTATCATTATTTTCTCTTGCTCTAACTGTTTTACCTGTCCATATATTTGACAATTATTGCTTGACATTCATCCAAAAGTTGTAAGAAATACTGTACTGGGTAAGTTTTGAGTACAGTACATGACAAACTGTACTTTATTCCTCCCTTTCAGAAATACTGATCTACACTCCTTTTTTGTTCTTCATCAATAATACCGGTAGAGTCCATTTCACTTTTTATAATGTCAATCACAATCCTACTTCATAATTTACCAACAGTACTAAGCAAAGTTAATTTCCTTTAGCCCTGCACAGTAATTACTTACTACTCCCATCACATTAGAGTTTCAAAATATGAAACAGGAGAGTGTAAAAATTTTATATAAGAGTAACCAGCAGATAAGATTAAGAGTATTACCTTGACATTGTTGACCTGTTGTGTTTTCTCCCCAATACTGGCATACAGCATCGTCTTGTAGGCCTTCATGTCAGCGTCTGCCTTCTGTAGCCAGTCAGAGAGCTTCTCGTATTCATCTTTGTAGTCACGCCACTGCACTACTGTCTTTTCAAGGTTCTCTTTCTGTTTGGAAATGTCCTTGAAGAGTTCCTCGAAACTCTCCTTCACAGCGCGCATCTCATTCTTGTAATTCTCCTGGCCAGACGATGATGTGGAGTGAAGGAACACCTCCCCTCGATGGAGCAGCTGATCCACTAATATCTGCCCCTGTGCCTGTCTCGTCAAAAGTGTGTCTAGAGCCTGTACAGCCGTCTCAATAGAAAGTCTATCGCCGAGATTCTTCTGCTTGAGGGCTGGGATTTTGTCACGTGTCCTATTGACAAATGCGTGGAGGTCATCGTAGGCTTCTTTGTAATGGCGGTGATCACGGTACTGAGTTTCTCTCTCTCCACGCAGGGTCTTGATGCGATCAGAAAGATTCTCAAACTGCTTAAGAATGTTCTGAGCTTGTGTGGCTGCTTGTGCCTGCTGTCCACTTGCCAGCATCTCTGAAGCCTTTACCTTAAGGCTCTCAACTTCATATTTTTCGCAACGAAGCTTTTCTTCGAGGCTCTGAAATGGGGATAATGTGCCTATTAAACTTTCTGTCATCTGTTACAGTCATTAAGGTGCCATTTACCTATTCTAAAATATGTCATCTAAATCTGAATGCTGTACTATGCCTTTGACTAACACACGTCTCCTGCCCAGCACTCCCAACTGGGTTAAAAAAATAATGATTCATGATTGAGAAATATAACTATTTAGGCATATGTGTGTAGGTGTGGTATTAAAGTTTAACATCAATAATCTATGAGTGGACCAACTAATTACAAATTTGTAAAATTATACTGACCTTGAGTCTTTCCAACTGAGCTCTCTTCTCTGAGAGTGTGGACTGGAACTGACTGACATCAGAAAGGGTGTGTTCAACATGTTCAATGGTCTTGTGTAGCTGGTGAATGTTTTCAAGGAAGCCAGCCCAACGATGGATAGTTTCATCCAAGTAAGTCTTTGTCTCCACCATCTTGGAAGCAAGACTACTCCAGTCCTGTTGCAGTTTTTCAACTGCCTGGTTGATGTGCTCATGTCCCAGAGGAGCAGTGTTAGCAAGGACAGTCTGAGCTAATTCAACAGTTCCCTGCACCTTACTGAAGCCTTCCTCCTTGTACAACAGAAGATCCTGGATGGTTTCCATCTTCTTGTCGAGGTCATCCTGGGAGGTGGCTGACAGGTCAGAACAATAACTAAGTTTCTTCTTGATATCCTGTAGCCAATTATGGCATTCTGTGACTCTGCTGTCATAGTCGGCGTGATGAGTTACGTACTGGTGCCAGCGGGTGTGGACGTCCTTGACCTTTGTAGAGATCTGCTGGTAGCGAGCACAGAGTTCATTAACCTGTGAGCCGCGGGAGGAGTGGTTGCCCTGGTACAAGTGCTGGGCACGTTCTGTTAACTGATCAATCTCCAGCTCCTTCGCTCGTACTTCACCCTGGAGGGTTTTTAACATATCCAGAGTTTCTTGCTTTTCTGCGAGTGTGACGTTCAGGTTCACTGCGTGTAGCTTGTTGTCTGTCTCACGCAGCCAACTTTGAATGGCATCTTTCATAGACTCAAAGTCTCCCCATTGGTACAAGGTGGCCTCAAGTCTTTCTATGGTGGAGGAAACAGCTGAGATAAGACCTTGCCACTCCTGCTGTGTGGTGTCGATCTGATTACGCACGTAGATCTGACCCGACTCCACTGTGCCGGGGATGACTTTCTCACCAATGGATCTTATCTGAAGGATCCTCGGCTCCTCCTCTGGGAGACTCAGTTGAAGGTTCTTAAGCTTCTCGAGGTTGGCATGAAGGGTAATATGATCACTCACCGACTCACCCCACATTTCTACAGTGTTATGTGTGGCATCTAACCACTCCTGTGTTTCAAATACTGTCTTACTGTACTGCTGGTGGTCACTGACAATTGCCTCATAGCGCTCCAAATACGACTGAATACGCTGCATCATCTCCTGGTGGTGAGCAGTTGCCGTTTCCAGGAATGAATTCACACGATCAGATTTTTCTGGAAGCATTTCTGCCTTGTCACGGACGTCGAGGATGGTCTGCTGCTTGGCCAGAATATCATGTAGGAGCATCCGGTAAGTTTGCAGCTGTGCGCGTTTCTCATCAAGGGTCGTCTTTAATTCAATCTCGTCGGGCATTTGTGCTTGTGTCTCCTTCAGCCACAGCTTCAGCTGTTCACTGGCCTCCTCAAAACTCGTCCAGCGGCCCATCTTGTTCTGAAGGTCTCTCTCCATCGTGGCAGAACTGTCAAAAAGTGTATCAAAAGCTCCTTGAAGATCTTCCAGTTGAATTCTTATAGCTTCCCTTCCATCATCGGAGGTTGAAGGATAGAGCTTCTCCCCAAGCTCCACGGTGGTGTTGACCAGGGAGAGGGCATTCTGCTTCTCTTTCAGTAACTCGCTTCCTATCTCTAATCTCTTCTGTAAGGTTGTTCGGTCTCCCTGCATCTCCACACACTTGGCTAACTTATCTTGAGCTGCAGTGAGCCATCCAACACTCTGGTTGTACTTGTCTATGAAGCCCTTGTGGTCACTCACTCCTACTTCACATTTTTTTAGGATTTCCTGAAGGAAATGAAAAGGATGTTTGTTAATCCCATTTACGTTAGTTACATTTAACACGAGAGAAACATAAACATTGCTTAAGACATCTATGTTTTCATCTACCAATAGTACTGTTTCTATACAAGATTCGGTACATATGCAATTATCACTAATGAAGAAATAAATCCTGTATAACCATTTCCACATTAAGGTAAACAACTTGTACTTGTAAATGTTTATGCTTACTTTAATTTCTGAATAATGTTTTTGATTCTTGGTATTTTTATTCTGATTTTGAATAAAGTTTCCTAGTGGATAAAGTTTATGATTCTGCTTAAAGAAAATGATTCTAATTCTGGTAAATATTCTGATTCTGCATATAAATACTGTGCAGGTATTTAGTTCTCTCCAGGATGCTCACCTTGGCCGTGACCTGGACGGCCTTGAAACGAGAGGTGATCTGCTGAATGTTGACAGAGATCCGGGTGTCGCCAGAGACGCCCATCAGGTCAGAGGAGTCATCACTCATCTTGTCGATCTCCCCTTGGTTCTGCATGATGCTAAACACCAGCCCCTGTGTGGTTATGAGAGGGTGAAACAAATATTACACACAGTACAGTTAATATTGCATGGGTTAAAACTAGCCAAAACTGTACAAGCATTGTACTTTTAAAACTGAAACAATAACTTAAAAGTACAGTAAATTAAATCTGGTATATACTGTATTGTTTTAATTAGATATGATAGTTAATTTACAATTATTACAAATAATTTCCAAGTTACAGTAATCCATTAAGCAGACCAAAATTATATACCAAGTCATTAAGGATTTTTTCTTCAAACTATCAGTCATATGATATTATCCTCCCCCCCCAAAAGCAAAAAAATCCTATTATCCAAACATGACCTCAACTTTACTTTATCCTCTTCCTAAAATGACTATAGACTGTATATCCGTTTCATGAAAGTTAACAGGTTGTGAAAAGCTACGAGTCTAATGAAAGAATGAATTAATATCTCAAATCTTGTCTGTTTTATTAACATGAGGAACAGTACGTAGATCAAAGGTTAACAGACACTATTGATCTCCCTATGTAAGGCGGCCATAATCAGGACCAACCATACACAAGAATTCTCACTCCTTTGCTGTTATTTGTTTATAATAATACAGTACAGTAGTATAACTTTGTACCTATCACTGTGGGTTGCATTTATCATAGACTATTCGATATAATTACAGGTACTGTAAATTTTTCAGTGACAGTAAACAATTTAGATCACCTGAATATATTACCCCTTAGTTTGTTTCACCTTAAGATTAACCACCTGATTACTAACCTAACCTTACTCTCCTCCCAGGTAGCATTTGGGTGTTTTAGCATCAGGTGAAATAAGCCATGGGGGGCTAATCTTCATATGGTCTAACTGCTCTTTCAAATTAAAGGAAAAATACCCCATTGTGTTGACATAAAATAAGAGAATTATGAGAAAAAAATTGGTCTTTTATAAAAATTGTTGAGTGCATGATTAGGAAAACTAACCTACAACAACTAAGACAGATACAGGTACACTCTAGACACATTATTTAAAAGAGAGAATTAACTTAATGATTTAAAGTGTTCCTTACCTAGAATTTATTTAATTTTTTACTTAATTCAAGGGTTATTGATAATTTTTTTTCAAGGTTGAATCTTATGAACAGCCTCATGATTTAAGACAAAATAGTTGAATACTCATGTGTGAGGATTTTGTCATGTAACTTGTCACCCGAGGCTAATTTCTCTACAGATTGGTTTGGTGTTTCTGCATACCAGTATATTTTCTTTAATGAGATTGTACAGTCACTCAAAATACTATCTTTACAAAATTGTGTTGAGAAAATATGACACAATGGACAAGGATTCTGACAACCCTGAGACAACAGAAGTCACACTGGTTATTCTGAAATTTATTGCCTCCCCCCCCCCCCAGTAATGATATTATTTTGAGTAACCGTAAAACAATGATTTTTTCAGCAGTTCAACATTATTTATAGGCTTTGATCTCTTAAGTTTATATACACACCTATAAAGAGGACTTTTTCCAGAGTCAAATATCAATAACAAGTACTAAGAGTTTCCTCTCAATTATTCCCTTATCATGTTGGAAAATCTTAAATCCAGTGTTTCCATTTACTGTATGTCAACTGTTGAGGCTGTATGTATGTTTGTCAACCAACTCTTCTCTAAAGTATCTCCACTATAAACTGCTATTATTGTTAGTAAACATAATGATTAAAAAGCTTTAACACAGGTCAATTTCAATCAGAGTAAAGGAACACATTCTTTTTTTTTCCTTTCTATTAAGCCATGTTTATAGAGGTGTTTTAGCCACAATACAAACCACCACGGAGATTTCTGAGACATTAAGGAGACACAAGTAAACATGGTGGTGGAGCCTTATGGGTGATGGTCCTTGGTGGTATCACACACCCCATGCTTCCAGGATGATGGACCTCAGGGAGAACAGCTCTTGGTGTCGCCGGAATGACTATACACCATAAGCAGGATGCCAGACGACAGGTATAGTTATGACGTTATGTACTGACAGAAGCTCACAATCTTAAACGCTACTTGAGAGGTCATTGCCCCCTAGGCAGACCATAACAGTCAGAAGCAGATTTATTGATTTTGTGCTATACTTCAGCAGGCCAATCCATTTAGATTTACAGTATTATAAAAAAATAATTTCTTCTATAGGCAGAGGTATACTAAATTTGTTTACATTAATTTCAATTCTTGCACTGTGCAGCAATACGTTTATATGATAATGACAATGTAAGATATTTGGTTGAATGTAACAACAAAAAGATGTTCAGAAAATTTTTAAGCATGTAAATTAATCTTACACTTTTAAAGAGGATTGGATTATTTTTTTAAGTAGGATGGAAATAACATAAAGGTTTTTCCTTTAGTTAGATTTGGCATCTTACTGCAAATGAAAGAATTTAATTTCAAAAATTATAATGGCTTTGATTTCTTTTCAGAACTTGTCCTTATTACAGAACCTCACCCATCCTATTAATACTAAGAACTCAATAGTTTTGTAAATGAAGGCAACAGTTTGTCTGGCTTTCTGACTGTTGGCCTCTCCTTAAGCAGCGCCTAAGCAGGTAACATTTCATCCGTCCATACTACTGGGAAGAAAACTTACTTCAATAATAACGAGACGAGGTCTTACTTGTTCAAGGTTATCAGCTATTGCAATGAATTCCTGTACGAGCACATGCCGGCTATCTACTACACGCAGGAATTCCTAAAGAAAACAGACAAGGACATTAATGCTACAATATTAGAACCCTTAAGCAAAATACCTTGCAGATATACATGAGTACCGACTACTCTAATTCACTATATTAATACACTCAGCTCAAGCAAAACCTAAAAAATTAAAATCAATCAATGTTATTCTCACAACCATGAACTGGCCTATAAATGATGGTTTAAATAAATGTGCCAAATTAAAATACATTATATCTAAGGGTCACTACAATACAACCATTCAGAGGATATTGCAGTGACTACTATGCAATTAATAATAATAATACAGTAATCAGATGTTAATACTGTAAACCAATTGCCTGTTTTTTAATAAACTACAAACTTTTGAATGTTTTATAAACTGTAACTTACAAAAGATTTTTTCTGACATCACTTCTTCAGATCTCAAAACCTCCCTGAATTTAAATACAGTACTGTTGTCTAAATATTTATACCGTAATTTCCACCTACGTTACTGGTTCCCACTTCCATTATTTGCCCAATTCTATACTCACCTGATTTCTATTTACAGTACAGGACATGACCTCAACTAGGAACAAGCATTACAAATTCATTAAAAAACACCTGAATTACAGCTAAAAAAAAAAAAAAAAAACTATGATCACGGAACGGATAACGTAAATCTTTTTTACTGGCATTTGTTTTTATTTCACTCATACAATGTACACTCGTACACATCAAATATGATCTTAAACTCAATATCTTTCATCGGGTTCCATATATCTCCATATTTTGAGCATAAGTTTATCATTACCAGCAAAGTAAATTATCTACTAATGAACAATTTTAGTAGAGTACAACAATTCTTCCATCAGTAGGATTATTCTGTCCTGTTACCTTAATCACTGGAGACGTTAATTTTAAAGTCCAGTGTCACATTAACCTGAGTTAAGAACCACTACACTCATCCACCCTGACTCATCAACTATATGAGGATACATTAGGTTAGGATTCAATCTTTCATTTAAACATGCCCCCTTAGAAGATCACAAACAAACACATACACACACACAAATGCACACACCATCAGCCACATGGTCTGTCTCTCCTCTTCACTATTACTGTTCTACCAAGTCATTCTCTTTAATCTTAATGCACAAATTACTTACTAATTCCCTACAGCACTTTACATGAAAATACAAGCAAGCAACTAACACAAGCTCCTCCATAATTATGTATCAACTACAGCAAATATCGTCCCTAAGCAAAAAATTCTACTTGCCCCTGTTCTTGAAAATTCTGAATTCATTGATAATAAAACCTATAAACCTAATACACTCACTCCTCAGGGTCACAGGGATAAATTAAGCATAGCACCAAGCACAAGGACTAACTATAGTACTGAGACAGGTTTTATCGCCCACCGACTGTGCTATGATATAATTGTGGCTCACTTTCGAAAAATAAACAAGATAAATCTAAAGCGCAACATTTACTGTGCAATGAGTCTCAAAAATATGGGAATGAATAGTTTAGGTCTATGATTTTTACCTACTTTTCTGTAGCTAAGGATTATATCCCTCATTATCATCTGCCCTACCACTGTACTGTACTTCTAAATTACAGTACTACCTTTTGCTTCTCACTTGTTTGTACATTTAACAAGTGAGTACAGTACCAGAGATGTACAGCAAAGGGTCAAAGTCGCATACAGTATCACTATATAGTACAGTGGAACAGTTTTATCCTAACTCAATGATACTTTTTATATCGAGGATGACAGTAGCTCGTACATCTTAGCTCAGAGGACTACAGTTGTACCTGAAGGTACAGATTGTGAAACAAGACAGAGAATGTTGAGCCTGTGTCTGTGTTTCCTTAGGTAGTGTTTTATCCCTCCTGTATTTCAATATGAACCATTTTGTGTCTGATAAAAATAAAAACTCTTCGTTGGCTATACAATTATTTGTGGGATGAGGTTAGATGTACTTGTGAGGCATTTATAACTTTGGTTCATCATTTTATCCTCTAGATTGAGAATCTATTTACCTCAATGTTACAATTTGTGTCATTCTGTGCCCATGAGCTGCATATTCTGTATCCGAAGAGGACATCATAATCCTGAGGGAAGTACTGTACAGTTTTTATCCCAGGAAACATCATCTAGACTCGTTCCAGGGACAGAGGTGTTGTATTCAAAGGACATTCATCACATCCCCTGAGGCTTCATTCCATGGTGGGGTACAACCTTACTGTTCCACCAGTCAAACTAACTCTTAGGAGCTTATGAGTAAATACAACTTAAATAAGGAAAGTAACTTAGCAGTATCCAACTTATGATGCTTTGACAGCAGACAATAGCAAGTATACCACGTTGAACTTGGATTTTGATGATGTTATTTGTGTGACTTTACTTAAAATCTATCATCAATGTTGGTTTTGATTACCAGAGACCAAAATAATATCCTTTGATATAATACCTAAATACTCAATACATTAAAGCTTAAACAAACAAAAAATTATGAGTTGCACAAATCACACCAATACAAGGCAGTCAAATACATCTTATATAAACTGTGTTCCTGACAGTGTACAGTACTGTACCTGGAAGCGTTCAAGCTGTTCCGTCTTCTCCTGGAGGGAGTTCTTGGGGCCGTAGTTCTTGAGTGTTCCCTCAGATTCATTAAGCCAAGAGATGATCCTGTCAAAGGTACCCTCATACTCCGTCCACTGCTGCAGACGCTCCTCCAGGCCGTGCTTAACATCAGCTAGGGTGCTGGCAAACTTAGCTAGTTCATACCTACACCACACAAAATGTACATAGGTTAGTATCTGAACTCCAATTTCCCACATAAAGCACCTAAAATTTTGCATTCATTTTTCAGTGTCACGCGATTATTATGTGTTGACAACCCTAAAACGTTCGATCTTACTTCATATTGTTGATCTCTCGCTCCATGGTCTCTTTGGCTCGGGCCGGCAGTTTCTCTAGCACCTGATGGGCGTGTGAGCTAATTTGGGCAATCATGTTCCGACCATCACACTTGGCATCCTCAAGCTCAGACACGTGGTCCAGTCGCTGCTGCAGTAAAGACTTATTGCCAGAATAGTCTGCAAGAAACATTGTTACCAGGTAAATCATCGTAATGATCAATGCTACTCTTTGTTTCACTAATGTATGTAACAAACTTTTAATAATAAGTGTTTTATTAAAATAACTGAGAGTACAATGCAGTATTTGGTTATGAAATAATACAATTCGCTATATACATCCAGTGACTAACATCATATGATAATCAGATAAAATAAGCTGGGGTGCCTAATCTTTAGGTGATCTCTGTTTGGTAAAGTAGACCCTTGCCATTCGCAAGATTGCGATTCGCAATTTCGATCATTCGCGTTAAGCAGATGGTGGCTATGTTGGCTAGCTAGCAAGCCTTTTCCCGCAGCACAACGAGTCACCCCATGCAGCATCTCGTGTTGTACTCTCAAAACTTTAGTGTTTCTGTGTGAAATAGCCCCTAAAAGACTGCCTAGTGTCAGTGCTAGTGATGCTAGTGGAGTGAAATGTAAAAGGCAGAAGTCAGTGATGACCCTGACAAAGAAAGTTTTATTATTAGATAAGTTAAAAGAGGGGATGAGTGCTGCCGCAGCTGGTCAGTTGTTTGGTATAAGTATACGTACAGTTGTGCACTAAGGTAGTATAAGTTGCTATTCGCTACTGTATTGGTTGTGGTCGTCCTACAATATAACATGAGTAGGTTTACAAAAGTGAGATAAAGAAGGGAAGTCATTTTTACCTGTGTATGTGTGTAATTTCTCCCACATGTCCTTCTGCCATTCACCATGAGAGGCGGTGAGGTCCTGGTGGGTGCTGAGGTTGTCCATCATCCACTCCAGGTCCTCGATGTTCTTCCTGGTGTTGGTGGCGAGCGCTTCGTGCCGGGACTGTACTTCTTCCATCGCTGACATCACGTCCTTATTGCTCGGTGACGCCTGGAGTAAGTAGCCGGCTCGCTCCTTCACAGCATCCAGCACCCTCTTGTGTGATGTGATGTCTTGCAGTGTTGTCTGTTTGAGCAGAAAATCACCAATAAGTTCAGAGAGTTAAATAATATTTCATATACACTACATTTACTAATATGCACATTTACACATTTTGATTTCCAGTATGAAGTTGGTCTTAAACTACAAGTTATACTGCATAGTATAAGAAATAATGAATACCCGTACTGTATAAATACAAAAGTGCATGAGTCACCTTAAGCTTCAGTAGCCTAGATCGTAGCTCCTGTAGTGAGAGCCAATTGGATGGATCAACAGTGATGGTCTTCTCCATGTTATCGAGCCAGTTGCGTGCAGCCTGGGTACTGTCTGAGAAGGAGGACCACTGCAGAGTTTGAGCTTCCTGCTTATGTTGTTGCTCCACGATAGAGGCCTCTAATTTCTCCCAGTGTTCACGCATAGCCCTCAAGTCCTGGCGGAGTTTCTCGCGGCCCACAGTAGCGGTGTCTGGGTACAGTCTCTCACCGATGGTTGTGATGGTTCCCAGACGGTGTGTTGCCTGCTCCCGCTCACTCAACAGGTACTGGAGGAGACTCTCCTTCCTCTCTGGATTGGCTTCGCTCAGGAGGCCATCAAGGGACTGCTCCATGGTGTTCAGCCACTTGTTGTTCTCCTCAAACTTTTCTTCATAAGTCTCGTGATCTGCCAGAACTCCTCGCCACTTTGTGACGGCCTCCTTTGTGAGGATGTGGAGGCTCTGGTAGCGGTTACTTAACTGAGTGATGAGCGGTTTGAGACGGTCTATGCTAGACACTCGCACCAGAGCGTGACCCTGATCGACAAAGACGTCAATCTCTCGTTCATAACGCACCACCTCCTCTCGTTTCTGCGTTAGGACTTCAATCCGTGTCTGTTTCTCATGGAGCGTGGCACACAACTGTTGGTCCTTGAAGAAGGATTCTAATTCTCGGCACCAAGCTGAATGACTTTCCAGGTCTTCTTCGAACTGACTCCACTGTTGTATCGTCCCATTCAAATTTTCTCGTACATCACCTGACATGAGAACACAAAAGAAGTATTACCATGATGACATTAATATGAATCAGAGTTTCTTTATATCTAACTCTTACTTTTTTGAGCATCAGTAGAAAGCTTTTGTGTTTATTACAGTCATGCAATTGCATACGATGATATACTGTACTGTATACTTCCATGCTTCCTGTCGTAAAAGACATAAAAAAAAAAGCCTCCAAGTCAACCTGTGTGTTATGTGCCAATGATTATCCTGGAGATGGTGTTGACAGTACTACACTACAACACAGACTCCTCCATTTGTCACACCAGTTCACAGACGACCCCAGGATGATATAATATACAATCATAAATCATTGAAAGAAAAAACGGAAATAAATTAAAATATCGAAGTCCATAGCTTCATCTCTATTTCCATCACTTGTACTACCTGCATAACATGAATCTGTCTGTTTGTGTGAAATTATTTGTGACACTAATCTGTTCATCACGAAGACAGACCCGCCCACAACTGACTTGGAGCAAGTTACCACGTGGCCTCTGTTTTAAATTTGGCGCACTGAAGAACAATACTTTTTTCCTATACATTCCCTACTAAATTATGAGCGTGTCTAATATGGCAAGAAATACGTGACATAGACAGAACCATTACTATATGTAAGGTAAGGTTATAGTGCCTTAGAGGTTGGAATATCCTACACCACTGACACCAAATAATCGCTTATACAGTGATACATTGGTGTCAATGGTGTAGGATAACCTAACCACTAAGGCACTATAACCCCAGCTTCGATATATTACAGTGAAACCTCTATTTAATGGACTATATGGAGAGGAAAGTCCATAACATGAAGTTTTCACAATATCATAAACATCAATTACATAAAAAAATAAAAAAGTAAATGTTATAGAAATTTCCTAAAGTCATCCGGATTATAAAGAAATTTTTTTAATACAGTAAACCAACAAGAGTAGTACCCTGGCTGTGGACTCTACTTTTATCCTCTTCACCACTAAACCTAAAACCACTTCACTAAATCAATAAGAGTATTACCCTGGATGTGGACTCTACTTTTATCCTCTTCACCACTAAACCTAAAACCGCACACCTGGCTGTGGACTCTACTTTTATCCTCTTCACCACTAAACCTAAAACCACTTCACTAAATCAATAAGAGTATTACCCTGGATGTGGACTCTACTTTTATCCTCTTCACCACTAAACCTAAAACCGCATCACTAAATCAACAACAGTATTACCTTAAATGTGGACTAAAACCTAAAAATCCGCTTCACTAACCAACAGTGGCAATATGGAGGTTCCAGGCATCTTCCATGGAGGTAATAGTGGCCCTCAGAGCCTTGCCACCACGCTCAGAGGTGCTCAGTGCAACCTTCTCTCCCAGTGTCCGCAGCTCCAGCAACTTCTTATCTCCGAGACCGTGCACAGTGTCTAGATCCTGAGGGAGGGAGGGAAGGGGCATTGGAGAAAAGATTAGTAGTGATTGAGATAATATGTCATGAACCATCCACTATGGTTCTGGTGTAAATACTGGACTTGAAATGAATGTCTCCAGTGATGTGAGAGAACAGGAGAAAATGGTCTAAGTGATATTAAAGTTGCTTTGAGGAGATAACTTTCTTATTGATAAATGATTAAAGCTCAAAACTAAAATATGTATGAATCCTGATATACAATAAATCTCAAAAAGGTAATATCATGTCTCAGGTACTTTCCCAAAAATTTCCTATTCATTCTTTTAAAAAAAATTTGCTATAAAATATCTCTCTTATATACAACACCAGTACTGTATTGTACCTCCATTAGGAAAGTAAACAGCCTGGCTTATCTTAGAACACACTGTACAACACTCCTTCATAACAAATCAAACCACGAGTTTGTAGGGAGAATTACATTATGCTACATACTGTAATTCTATACCCTATATGCACTTCACACAACAGGCAGTCCCCGATTTCTTAAGGTTCGGTTTACGAAAATTTGAAATTAAAACCAATAATTGTCCCGTAATTTGATTTATGAGCGAAAAAAACAGATACAGGGATGTGTAATGTTTTGCCTTTTTTTCGAGTGTCAATGAAAATGTGCTAAAATAATGTACTGTAGTTACTTTCTTATTTCAGTAACTTATTTAAATAATCTTTAAAACTCACAATGTTATTAAGTCTACAAATAAACTTTCAATGTGTCATCATTCTCCCATAATCATTATACGACTTACTCCTCAAACTCACTGAGGACAAGTTGACTCGTCTCCATCAGCAAAGTCAGTCAGTCAATTTTCTTTGGAATTTACTCTTATTTAATGTGTAGAAAGTTAAATACAGTAAAGAAAATTACTGCATTATATATTCTTAAAAATAAAAATACTGCTAATCATGTAAAATAAAAGTACAGAGTTGGAAGAGAAGTGTGGAAATTGGAAGGTGTGGATATTGCATGTGACGAACGAGAGGACATGAGTGTAGCGCGAACTGATTGACGGCAACATTTGTGCCGTGTAAACAAAGCAGCGAAAATTTAGGTTTAACCAATAATTCATCAGGGGTTTGGTATTAGATATTTTCCATAGAGGATATATCTCAAATTATATACAGGTAATGGGTGTCAGTGTATTACTGCAGTACTGGAATACAGTATACAGGTAATTATTAAAATGTTGGCTTTATATTTCATGCTGTTCACTCTGTTTCAAATCTCATCAAGTTTCTCTTAAATACAGTTTTAAAATTATGACTGTTCTGTCCTGCATGTATTTAATTTTTTGTTAATTATTGGTTTATAATCATTTTCAACACCAAAATTTGTCACTAGAAACATGTCTTGTACCATTTTAAGACTTTTGGGGATATTTATTTTTTTAATATTTCTCAGCTTGTATAATGGGAGTCTGGGAAAATGAGATCACATTTAGGAAAAAATTAATTCATGGCATTAAAGGTTTTCAGGACTGAAACCTTTTATAAATCTGGGAATGCCTGTACAGTACCTGTACTAACTTACAATATATATTTCCTTTCCCATCATGCAGCAGATAGCTCAAAATCTATACAGCATGTCAGTGTGAATATAATATTACTGTGTACTTCATATTTTCATACACATACTGTACAACTCATTTAAGGACGGCATATCACATGATGCTGTCATCAAAGGTATATACAATACACCTTATGAAATGTAATCCAAATCATCCTGTACTATATTAAGCATTTTCTGAACACCCACACACTTCCTCCTCTTCAGCCTAACTCTCCCCACAATTAAAAAAAAAAAAAAATCAAGGAACATGCATTAGGTACAAAAAATATCAGTAAAGTGAATAATCCCATTTACCTCTCAAAATATATTTTTTTTTTAGTTTACAAAATCTGATAGAAATGAAAAATTATTCATATGAATATTCTGAGCACCTCTCAAAACTGAACAGATCATAACCGCATTGGCTGGGAATTTACCCACTGAGGGAACTGTGAAGGGAAGATTCACTTTACTTATAACCTTGACACACCAGCCTCAGTGTTCCTAACTCACTACTCATCCATCTACCCCAAGGACATCTCCTTGTGCCTGTAACAGTATATAAGCTAAGGAAGCTGACATTAAAAAAGAAAAAATAATTCTAAACCAGTAACCCATAAACCCTCATGACCTTCATCTTGTCAATAATACCCTAAAAATCTACGAAAAAATTAAGTTGATGACGGATATCAATCAACTTATAAACTCCTCAAAAGCACATAACTTTCAGGCAAATTCTGACATGCAGATGTTTCATGTATAGTATTAGTGATTGATATAATATTCCTGATTGTATGATGTTTACTGAGAAGCAGGACTGTTGGTGATACTTTACCAATACAGTACAGTAATTACCTGAACTCATATTGGGTGAAACATAGATTCATAATACTGTATCTTATATTAGTACCTGTACTGGAACTCCTGCTTATGTGGTGACCAATATCCATGAACCAAACACAACTGGCATTCCTCTTATCCAATTATATTTTTTTACAATCAATACAACTAAAACATTTACTGTACTCTATATGATTTCATTACGGTAACATATTTAGCATTATTATCAATATTACAATAGTTTTTTTTAGTAAGGTTAGCCATGTGGTTGGTCTGTCATCTACAAGAGAAGTGTTACAGTGGACCAGCTGGTCAGTTACCCACACAATGTATCCTGGAAAACTGTGCACGTGGACCACCCTCGGCCCCTACCCCGCAGGGTAAGCAGAAGTGAACTGCACCTTTTAAGTGTCAAAATTCGTGTAGGTAAACCTTTCTAAACACCCTTTAAGCATCACCCTTTTATTTATGACAGTGTCAAAAGTGTTTATCACTCTCATTTGGATAAGTTTTATTTACACAATTTCCATGAAAGTGTCAATATTCCCAGTGGTCAGACCACAGCCTAACAGTCTTCAGTCTGTCCCAAAAAGGTTCCATTGCCTCCAGGTTCGTCGTCTCATCACAGTAAGTTATTGGGTGTTTGGTAAGAGTTGCCTGTTGGAAGAATTTGTGAGCTAGTTATGTTTATCACTCCTTAACATATAACCAGTTCCTCAAGGCTGCTACTGGATTAAGCTCTGGTAATGAAGCAAAGTTTATAGTGTATATACTACTACAGTATATATACCCGGTATTTAGTAATTCCTGACAAGACTATTAACAGGGAGGGGCCATTTCATGCAATCCCGACACACTTGTTACCTTTGCAACGATAAGGGTCACTGGCACAAGTTGTGAACAGGTGTTTAGTTCAGTTTCTACCCTCTGGAAAAAAGAGTTACATTGCAAGCTATTTATGATTACAACAATAGAATGCTAGAGTCAATGTAAGCTAATGTTATACTGATTAGCAAAACTGCTAAGCTATTCCATGAAATTAAGATTAAATTAAGAAGATTATTAGCATGCAGCGATATGGTCTGTTTTAAAAATGAATTTTCTAACGAATTAGAATCTAAAATTTAGTCATGTGGAATTTTGGAAAGATCCGAGTAGATTATGATACAGCATTAATAAGAGAGACAGAGTGAGAGTTAAAATACAAAGTACAGTCATCTGTACCTTCAGGTTTTCCAGTTTCTTGGTGAGATCCGACTTCTCGCCGGACACGTCAGCACAAAGGTGTAGTTGATCTCGCTGGAGGTTGAGCCAATCGCCAAAGCTCTTGCACAGTGAGTTAAACTGGGCGTGGTCCTGCACACACACGTCTAACTTATCTAACAGGTCTCTGCTCTTTAGTACAATGTTATGGAACAATGTTTGTATGGACTGGATGTAAATATTTAGTGTCTTGTCCTGCGTCTGGTTGACGAGGGTCTGAGCTTTCTCACACACCATTTCTACTAAACTCTGGTGAGCTTGAATCTCTTGGTGAACGAGACGATGGTTCTGTAACTGTGCGGTCTTCTCTTGCAAAGAATTCTTCAGTTCAGTGTGTTGCTGCATGGCCAGCTCTACATCTCGCAGCCAGCGTGTGAGCTGCTCTTGTGCCCCAGAGAAGTCTGAAAACTGTTGAAGGCATTGGTCAAGGGTTAATCCAGCATTAGTGACCGACTCACACCAAGCCTCCCAACGTTCCCGTAGGTCACGCAGACTTTGACGAATATTCTCCCTACCATCTGGTGCTGTGTGGGCATACAACCGCTCGCCAAGTTCAAGGACGGCATCGACTTTGTTGGCCTGGCTTGACTTAAGTTCAATCAACTGTTCAACTTTATTACGTCTCATTTGCAGGATCTTCATGTCACCGACTATCTCTGCGTGTTCTCTTAGATCTTGATCTACTGCTTCAACCCACTCAGTACATTCCTCGTACTTTTCTAAGAAGGTGCGGTGTTCGCGGATAAACTGCTCATACCGACTCATCATTTCCTTCAACGCATTCTTTAGAGCTTGGTAACGAGAGGACAACTGAGAAATCTGGACAGCGTGCTTGCCTTCATTGTCCATACTCTGAGCCTGGGTTAGGGCCTCGGTGATCTCTGGGGCTTTATCGGCAATCTCCTCCTCCAGCTGGCGGAGACGGTCAAGATGATTCTCCTTGGCATCTAGGGTGCTCTTAAGAGACTGATCTTTGACTTTAATTTCAATAGATTTCAGCCAGTCTCTTAGTGCCTGGACTACTTCCTCACACTCATTGTACTGTGACATGATACCAAGGACTTTTCTCTTGCTCTCAGCAATCTCTGACTGCAGTGCTCGCCAACTTCTCTGCTGAGCGTCAAGGTCGGCTTTAACAGATGCGTGCCCTGATGAATCACTATTTTTCAGAGTTAGCTCTAAGCTCTCCTCACACATATCCAAAAGTGCCTGCCCATCTTCTTCGCTCATTTCAAGAGTGTCGAGAATGCTCATTTTCATTTGGACATCGCTGCTTTCCGGTGACACATCTGAACACATTGCTAACTCGGCCTTCTGTGAGGTCAACCAATCCCGGAACTTCTCTGTGTTGTGGAGGTATGCCTCGTGCTGCTGTATGAACTCCTCACAACATCCAATTCTCTGCTGTGTCTGCAAGACCAACTCTCGGTACTGACTAATCATGTCATCAACCGTTTCTGAAGTTTCATCATCGGTTAAAAACTCAATCTTCTCCTTGAGGCCATAGATCATACTCTCATGGGAGTTAATGTCTTGATAAACAGCTTTGTACTGTTGCAACTGAGCCTTTTTATCAGATAAAGTTGGCTTCAAGTCAAATTCTGTTCCAGCTCGACGCTGAATTTCCTCTAGCCACTTCGAAGCCTGACTGAAGTTATCATCAAAAGATGACCACTGCATAATGATGCCCTCAACACGCTTGTATAATTGATTGACTTTGTCCAGGTGAGCTTCCCAAGTGTCTCGGAGGGTGCGAAGGTCCGACCGAATTTTCTCGCGGCCTTCAGGGGTGATGGCTGAAAACAAGGATTCGCCATGCTCCACCACAGCATTCAAAAGCTGCTGACCATTTTTCTTTTCCTCAACAAATGATTTGAGGTTATGCAATTTAGACTGGTATGCTAAAGTGGGTTTTCCTCCACTTCGGGTCATCTGTTCAAAGGTCTGAAGCTTTTCCTCTGCGTCTTTAAGCCAGTCTTCCATTTTCACAATAGTCTCACTGTACAGCTTTTGGTCTCTGGTTAACTGGTTAAGTTTGTTAAGGAATGTATTACAGAACTGGACAAGAGCTTGTACTCGAGTCTTTATCTGGTTCGCGTACTCTCTGGCTCTCGTGTCAGGATTGACCTCCATGAGTTCCTCTGTCTTCTCCATGAGTTCGTTCACCTCATCATCATTGCTGTTAACTTCCTCCAAGAGAGTTTCGATCTCCTCTATCTTCTCCTGCACCATAGTCATGTCAATCTGGTTTGTGGTCTCTGTACGGATACGAGCTTCAACCTCACGCAGCCACGAGCTCAAGTTTTCTGTCATCAACTCATACTGCTGCCAAAGAGCCAAGGAGGTAGACAGTGCAACATGACACTCATTAAGATTGGTATGCAACTCATCCATTTCAGAGATTTCTAACTCACATTCTTCCTGTATGTTTTCACGTTCTTCAGGGCTAACTATACGTTCATACAATTCTTGACAATTTTCAAGTTCTTGCCTCTTGACAAGTCCCAACTTAAGACTTGATCTGACATCTGAGAGAGCAGCAATCTTAGACTCCACGCCATATCTATCACTGCCTGGTTCTTTCTGACACCAAGTGATCTTCTCTTGATGAACCGCCACAAACCTCTGTACATCAGAGAGTCGATCGCGATAATGTTTCTCAATAACGTAATACAGACTCTTGCATGCCTTGGCTGTCTGTACTAATATTCCCTCATATTTCTTCTGTAGTCCGGTGAATTCCTTCACTAGTTTACTGGGCTCAAAACCCCTGAAACTTGCCTTCAACTCCTCAATCTCTGTTTTCACATCTTTAATCTTCTCGCTATACTGCTGCAACTCGACCTCGATTTTCCTGGCAGTTTCAAGGCGTGCGAGAATTTTCTTGTCATCCCCGGTAATATCTTCACATTTCATAAGTCTGTCGCGAATCTGAGTCAGTGATTCATTGATGTCTTTTATGTCTTCATATACAGTCGTCTCTTGCTCCTTCATGTCATCCAGGTAGGTGCCAAGTTTGGAGGCGGCTGATTCTGTTTGTTCAAATTCTGACGTAATGGTACTAATTATTTCCTCAATCCTAGCCAGAGAGGTCCCAGAATTTAGTGATTCTAGCTGCTTGGCGCGACTCTGAAGGCTACGGAAATGGCTCTCGTAGTTTGAATGTTCATTCTTATATTTTTCTAACTTTTCAGCAGCTGCTTCCATTTCATGTGCCACCTGTGTTTCATCTAGAGCTTCGCAGGTGTCACTGAGCCAAGAGAGAATTTCATCACGTCCGTTTAGTATTTGCTTCCAGAGGACCAACTGACCTTCTAGATTTTGTGAGCGTTGGTTAAGAAGGTCCATCATACTCTGCCACTTACTCTGAGTCTCTTGTGACTGTTGACGGACAGTGCTGGAGTCGAATCCTTTCTCGCTGTCTAGCTGTTGACTCAGGTGTTGTGATTTGGAAATATAATTCTCCAGCTGAGGTCTTGTTCGGCGCAAGGCATCAGTTGTCTTCTTGCAGAGGTTCATCATGGTCTGTACACCACTGGCTTCTGAAGGTTTACAATCTAACTTCTCAATATTTCGTTCAGACTCTGCAATTGCAGCTTGTAAGTATTCTCGGCCATCTGTACACTGTCTCCAGAGGGAAGTGATGCTAGTGAACTTGGTCTGCATTTCATACAACATATTCTGAGCACGATCCCAGCTTCCATCTGCTGCAGTCAAAGCATTCTGAACAGACACTAACTGAGTTGAGTCACTAGACATTAAATCACGTCCTAAGTCGTGTAATTTGTCTTTCAGTTTCAGCTGTGACTGCATTTCTTGAAGGGCAGCTTCAACAGCCTCCAGTAAATTCTGAACTCCTCCATATGTGCTTTGTGTCAGGTCCTTGTCAGTAACTCTCCTTGTGACCCCATTCAGGAACTCGGACAACTGGTTCTTCACTCGGTGGAATGCTTCCCATTGGCTATTAACTTGTTGTAGCTGATCCCGTCGACCGTCAAGATGGCTATCCAATACATCCATCCTCTTCCTAAATTCTTGAACTTTTGTTTCTATATCTAATGCAGATCCAGTATCTGGGTCCCTGATAGCCATAGAACTTTTTCTACAGAGGTCCATGATGTAGGAAGACTCATCATCCCATGAGCGACATTGTTCTTGGAGGTTCACCAACTCCTTTCTCATCTGAGATAAATCATCAATATTGGGTTTGGCATCAAGCTGCTGACTAATCCCTCTCAGAGCATCATCTGTGTTACCCTGCCACTCCCAGAAGTCTCGCCACTTGAGGATCGCTGGTTTTTTAGATATTATCACTTCTCCATAATTTTCAAATCGAGCTTCTGCATCATCAAACTGAGTGAACAAATCATCACGATCTTGCCCTGTACAACGATCGCCCACGTCACGGCACTCCTCTGCGAGGGATGTCACTTCGTTCTGTTTTTCATCGTGTTCTTGTTGCAGACGATGAACAAGGTCAGGACATCCGTCTAATTCATCTACGTCAATATCCTCAAGCTCGTCTAAATTGTTACTGAAGTCATTCAACCACGTCTCAAGTTTTTCAACTTTGGCAATAAATTCTTGACGGACGACCATGATATCTGATAATTCATTTTTTAGTTTACGCATTTCATCACTCAACTTTGATATCATGTTCTTGAGGTCCATCACAGTGGATTTGACGGTGGCACTTCCTTCTGTGCCCATCCCAGAGGAAATATGATCACCAACAGCTGTGAGATTTATAAGATCTGTCTGCTTCTCACCAACTTCCTTGACCATGTCCTTCAGGCTGGCAACGCGTTCCTCTAAACGCATCACAGTTGGAGCGTACTCACTCACCTTCTCTAGTCGCTCTTCCATCTGATGCACCCAGGATGATACAGCATCACATTTATAATTAAAATCTTCCCATTCTGCAAGAAGAGATTCTGACCTTTCACTCCACTGCAAGGCAACATCATGAAGTGCAGTCCAGCGAGAGTGGAGGGCATCAATCTCATCCACAACTGAACATATACGTGCTACCTGGGCGCTCTTTGATGACACACTGCGCAATTTCTCCAAACAGTCGTCACATTCTTTCTCAAATTCCTTGGCTGTATCTGAGGACTGGATAGCCTCCTGCATTGAATTTGGTTTGCCCATGCCAAGGGCAACCTTTGTTTCTGCTTCCTCTAACCAAGGCTTGATTTCTAAAATTCCTTTCTGATACTCTTTCCAATGTTTCAGATCATTGCGGACAGTCTCATAATGCTTTTCTGTGTGCTTGTCCAGAGTGGCAATGTTTAGTTTCAACTCCCCGAGTTCAGCACTAAACTGTAGCGCATCATTTGATGGTTCTCCTTCTAAGAGTTCTTCAGCTTCCTCCTCCAGGGTGCTGATTATGGCCATCTTTTCTTTAATCTTACCCTTGAGGTCATCTGTCTGAGAGTCTCGGTCTTCAGGAGACATTTCCAGAGTAACGAGACGCTCCAGCACATTCTGGGCATTATTCAACCATGATTTTAACTCTTGTAATGTGCCGGTAAAGTGAACCCACTTCACATTTAACTGTTCCAAGAATTCAATCTTCTCAGAAACTGTGTCAATCACCATCTGCATGCGCTGTTCAATTTCAACAACTTCCTTTTCAAGTAAAGGTTTTTTCTCTGGATTGGCCAGTTTAGCAAGATTACTTGAATGGTTGTGCAGTTTACGAAGCATCTGGTCAGTTGTTTCATTAAGATGTTCATTCATTTCCTGCTTGTTACTCAGTTCATTAGCTACCTGTTGGGGATTATCATGTAAAATTATGCTAGAGAGTTCTGTTTCAGCCTGAGCGATCAGTTTTAAAATTTCAGTTTTTTGGTCAGTGTAATCAGACCAAACTTTTTGTGTATTCTTAAGTTTGTTGAGCTTATCAACAGAACCATTATAAGCTTCATTCCACTTAGCCTCCAACGTCTGTAACATCGCACTGACAAAGAGCGGTGCATTCTGGTCCCTTATAAGGTCTTTACCTCTCTGTATTGTTGAAAAAATATTATCCCTTTGGTTTTCCAGCCGTTGAACTGTTCCCTCCTGTTGCTGAATCAACTGTGTGACAGACTCCAGGTTCTCCGGCTGGGTATCTTTCTCACTCTGTTTTCTCACATCTTCCAGGATTGCAACAACATTATCAATATCTTCACGATAGTGGTAACATTTGGTGTAGGTTTCTGCACGGATTAGGGCCGACTCAATGGTGGGGACGAGTGCCTTGTAGCGAGCTATAAGCGACTCTAATTTCTGCTGTTCATACTGGCCGTCTTCCTCCGGGATATGAGTGATTAAGGAATCCAGCATCTGAACCAGCCACTTCATAGACTCCCGACGAGACTCCATATCACCACACATGGCCTTTAAAGACACATACAAATATTAAACAAAGAAAAAGGTGAAAAGACTGAATAAGGTACAAAAATCATTTTACTGATCACACTACATACACAGCATAGGCAAGTCACTGAACGAACTGTGGTATAATAAATGTATCAAAGGTGTGTGTGTGTGTGTGTGTGTGTGTGTTTTTTTTTAAAGTTAAGTTTTATACTGTGACCACAATAATACCATAAAACTTACTACAAATTTGTCCTTCAGTTTCTCATAGTCCTCAGCTTTGGACGTCTCTCTGTTGACTTCCTTTAGACAGTCGTTGACGCCGTCCATCCACAAAACCGTTTCTTCGACTCTGTTGTACAGTAATTTAAAACAATGAAATTTTTAGGCATTAAAATTAATTTAGTGATACAGTACTGAACTTTAAAATTATAAAAGAATAAAAATTAATGTATATGACAGTTTTTCCTTAGCCTTTATGACTTTTATTTTTATTTTAATTTGTTCTATTTATCACTTCACCACTTTCCAGTTCACTAGCCATTCGGGCAGTTGGTACGTTCATTCACTTTAAGAACTTTATAATCCAATGTTAAGGCCCATAAGAACATACAACTTGTTCAACACATCGAGTTAATCAATCATAAAACACATTCACGATATCTCTAAACAGAATAACCATCGGTGGGACTCACTTGCTCTCGTATTCCCTCCAACGTTCTGGGATCTGGTCCAGCTGAGAGGCCATAGTGCCAATACGAGTCTGCAGCTCTAACCATTGTCCCGTGCATCGCTGGCAGTCCTCCACAAGGCCTCTGTCATTCTTCTGTAAAAGAAAACTCAAACTCATCAATGACATTTTTATACCTGATCATCATGAGTAGAACTACAATATACAATAACATTCTTTATAATCTTTAATCTTTCTACAGTATTTTCTAAATCTACTTTTATAAATACAGTACTGAGAGAGAATGATATACAAGTACCATAGTTTAATAATCATATCTATTTCAGGTATTTGTGACATGATCAAAGAATAACTGGGAAACAAACATCAATATTGAATTAAAGACACACTTGAACCCAGTATGGATATATTAAACAATTACTGTACATAGAACAAACTCTAATGAGAAGAACCCACATTGATGATAAAGATTTTATCACCCGTCTTAGGCGTCAGCTCAACTGTTTATGACCGATGATTTGGATACTTTTACGATTAATTCATCAAATACTGTACATAAATACTGTATTCATTTTCCTGTACAAGCATTGCATAAAAAAAAAAGTGATGCACCAAATATACAATATGAATCATCATACTACAGTAATGGTAAGCTCTGAACTACTTTAATTTATGCTGTAAAACAACAGTACAGTATTGTATTTTACAAGATTAATACTGTAACTATTTATGAAGTTACTCATATCAATAGTTCATTCCCTACACTGCACTGTACTCTAAAACGTTTTCCATGGGAAATAAAATCAACTGTTACAATATTGACAAGAAATAAAGAATAAAATAAATTCTTGTTTCATTATATTAGTGTATTTCCTTATCTTCACATTCCTGGTATTTCAGGATACTGCACCAATCACATCCATATGCCCCTGAAGCAGCCCAGAGTTATGGTTTACCACACCATACAAAGCTTCCCTCTATTATGTCTGTGTGAGCAGTAAAATCCCCTCACCAACAAGGACATTCCATAACTAAGAACTAGAATGTGAAGGTAGATAAAGTCATCACTGCCTTCTGAATGGCCATACAGTAATGCCCTATCATCATCTTCGGTGCTAACGTACTGTTGACACTCTTTTAGTTAGCAGAGATCATCAAATTTTCAGGTAATTAAACACAAGTCCTCTAGCCACTAAGATGCGGGATCGGTGAAGGACAATTTACCTTATTTACATATTCGTGACTTGATACGTCCATGTTGTCTAATAATTCCTCTATACGTGACACCAACTCCTCAGCAAAGAACTCCTGTGGGTAGAGAAGCAACCAGTGAGTAAGTCTGTCCCCAGGCAATGAAGAACAGGTAGTGATATGGATAGTCTTTACTGCATACACGCGCACACACAAAGTAAATAATGAATATGGAAACTACGAAACAACTAGATAAATGTTTGCTCAAGTATCCCCTAAGTCCTAATACTAAAATAAGAAGACCATACACCATGGCTAATACAGTGAACAAAGGCAAACTACTGTACTATACTGCCCCTTAACACCAACACCCAACAAGTTCTTAATATCTAACAGCCAGGTCCCCCTCCAGACAGGTCCCCCTCCAGCCAGGTCCCCCTCCAGCCAGGTCCCCCTCCACCCAGGTTCCCCTCCAGCCAGGTCCACTTCCAACCAAGTCCCCCTCCACCCACAGCCAGGTCCTTCACCCTCCAGCCAGGTCCTCCAGGAGACCCCTCCAGCCAGGTCCCCCTCCAGCCAGGTCCCCCTCCACCCAGGTCTTCCTCCAACCAGACCCCCCTCCACCCAGGTCATCCTCCAGCCAGGTCCCCCTCAACCATCCATCAGTTTGTCAGTATCAATTAATTATTATACCTGGGGACTGCAACTGAAGATAGATAAGATAATTAATTGGCAAAGATTCAGAATACAATCGGCAAATAGAGAAATATATCATCTAATCCTAACCAGAGGCAGATACTGTAACTATATGGTCTTGTGGGAGAAAAACACATGAGGGAAAAAAGATGAGAGCTTGTGAGTACGGACATATAATTTTTATTTTTTTTTTTATTTTTTTTTATCAACAAGCTAATAAATTCGAAATAGTAGGTCTGATATTGTATATAGAATAAACCATATATTTTACTTCATTCATACATACACTAAGATCACTTACCTCGTGCTTTCTTCTAATGGCCTCGACGTTTTCACTTTTATTGTATGCGTTCTGTTCGCCGGCCAGTTCTTTCTCAATATCACGGACGTACATTTGGAAGGTGTTTTCATCTAGTCGGAACTCCAACTAAAATGGGTAAAAAATTGGTGAGTGTGTGTGTGTGTGTGTGCCATCATTTGTTGTACAGTACCGTTCAAATATATCTTGATACATTATCCACTCTTACAACTTACTAGATAAATCAAAATACTCCAAGAGAAAGCCTTCTGATTTCTTTCTATTTCTAAAAATCATAAATGAACAGATAATCTATTTAATCAACTCAAAGTGACTAATAATTGAGAATTTCTTTAAACTCAAGAAGAGAATATACAAGTGAGCAATGATTACACAACACTAATCATGATGAAGAATTGTCTATACCTATATTAAAGTTTCAAATTTTTCCAGAGTTAATTACCTTGAGTAGGTGAAGGGGCGCATGACACATGACGTCGTCCCATCGATTCTGTATACTTTTGATGGCCACGTCGATAGCCTCCTGCTCTGACTCAGCAACGTACTTTTGCAGGTCCTGTCCAGTGGCGATCACCTTCAGGAGGAGGTGCTCAGGGGCATTGATGAAAAAGTCCTGTGATCATAATATTTAACACAGGCGTTAATACTCACATATTTTATACACTACAAAATTCTAAGTTTCCCTTTACTCTTTCTCATGCGTCAAGTGAACTATTCTGCTACGTACTTTATTTTAGAAACTAGTGTTAATATTTAACTACTGTAATTCATAATAAAATAATTATTTTCACAGGTTTTTTGTAACATGTAATACCAATGATGGTTCTCGTGACGAAGATTTTTACCTCAAAATTCTATAGCAGCTTCTTTAACGCTTCAACAAATACTGAAGTAATATAACCAAACATGCAAAGGAAAAGTTGTTGTGTAAAATTTTATTTCATAATTCTGTTTATATTAGGAAGTATTAAAAGGATTCACACTCAGACTTAAATCCAAATTGAGTCAGATTGTAAGTGAGAGTGGGACCCATTGGCCTGGCAGCTCATTAGAGACAGTGTGGATACAGCAAACTGTACAGAAAACCTTTTCTTTTTGACACACAAAATTTTTGGGGTTGGCACTGCACTCAACTGCCCTTTATTTCCCCAACTACAATATTAGGTACCCATTCACAGCAGGGTAAATCAGAAGTGCCCCAAGTGGAAACAAGTGACCCTATAGACAGGGGGTGAGCACTTGAATGCTGTACTCCATTTGAATCAGATTAAATCAGGTTAATTATCAGGTTAATTATCAGTCTTCAAAATAATACTTAATCTGGAACTGTATATGAGTTTACTGTAGATCCTGGAAAAAGAAAGATCCTTTATATTGGTTCACCTTGTGTGTCTCCAGATAGCTCTTGGTTGTGATGGCCTTCTCCTGGAATAACTTCTCAGCACTTGTGATCCACTCAGTGACCTCTGATTCACATTCCTTAAAGCTCTGCCAACAGCGGATGCTCTCACTCATGCGAGTTTCCCACGTTACTGATGTAGCGGTCAACTCAGTGAATCTGTGTGGAAAATAAGACACTTCTAAAAAAGTAAAGTAAAACGGAATAAAATTGTTGCAAGAAAATAAAGCTTTCTCTAGTCTCTTTAATTCCTTCATTTCAGAACTAATCCAGTCTTCACATAACACAGCTGTACAAGTATTGTCTCTCCATATAACTTACCTCTCATTCAGTTTATTTATCTTTTCCTCAAGGTCTTGTACATTGAGATTTTCTCCTCCGTTTGTTGTCCGAAGAAGACTCTGATACACTCGGTTTTTAGTGTCTAGCATCGATTTGTAGTACAGTTGACGAGAGAAGAAGGCCTAGTGGATAAACCATCAGGTAGAATATATAAAGCTTCACAGTAAACAAGTTCCATCCTATTTTGGGAACAGAGTTAGTTGACAGACAGGTAAATAATATATTGAGCATCACAACAATAAATAGTCTCCCACAGCCTCCCTCTATAACAAATCTCCACACTTCAGTTACCAAACCAGTGCAGTAATACACTAATAGTTAATGATAATACCTGTTTTGAGCAATCTTGCTACATGTCTAGTCTACAATAACAAATAAATGAAATAAAAAATAAGATTTAAGCCTCACAAGGACTTGGTTATAAATTATAACAACATATAATCTAATACATGTACCAAAAGTACTAAAAAAAAAAAAATATGAATTACCGTACCATAAATTTCTTTCTAATCTATAACATAAAATAGAGGAGATTTAGAAGGAAAAGTAAACGGTAATATAATTTAATATTTTCCTACAACATCAGAAAAACTCACCAAGTCTTGTTAGAATAAGAAAAAGAAAAAATCGAGTGTAGGTTAAGAAGGTCAATCCTACGGCTGACAACCTTATGCAAAAAACCTACCCTGTGCGTCTCTAGTTGGTTCCTTGCCGTCTCATTGATGCCGGTGAAGGAAAAGGGTGACTCGGGATCTTCACTCTACATGAGGCAATAGAGAGGGCCGTTATTTTATGCTCACGACTTTGGTACTCATATATGCCGTCGACCTAAGCCCTGAGGATTTCACTAACACAGATGGGGACGAGGGTGAGCAAAAATAACAAAAACACAAAAAAAAAACATGAAAAGTAAATCCAATTCAAAAAATAAAAATTGAAGCCTAAAAACTTAGGTATGTTTAAAAAAAAATATTTAAAAATGCTTGAAAAAACTAAAAGCAGATATTACGCCACAGTTGATCCATCATTCTTCAGTACAAGACAAAACACCTAGTAAACATTGAGACACCTTCAGATACACTAAGTGACACCAAACACAAGAAGCTCTAGATAACATTGAGGGGGGAGGGGGAGGAGAGCAACCTTAGTGATATCATTATAATATGATACTTGGGTTGGGGTGGGGGGCCAGCAATCAAAAGCATTATCCACAGACTACCTCAATCTTATGTACAACACTGCATCATAATACCTGAACTGAGAGAAAAATAGGTAGGAATTTACTCACTTCCTCCCTACACCTAAGGAGGAAGACTGAAAAGAATACAATAAACACTATAAAAAAATTACAGCATTGCACAAGTTGAGGTATTCATGGGGGAAAAAAGTTCGGGATTTAAGATAGTGAATGTGTCCTGCAGAGTAATCTAGGGATTTTATTTGAACAGGGAAAAACTAGGGGCTAAAATCTTCACAGAGCAGAACACCAAACAACACTTGAGAGAGAGAGAGAATTACTTTGTGTCGGGTAAGTTGGTCCTGCATGTGTTCATTTGTGCTGTGGAGTGTGAAGGAGTCCAGGAGGGCCTCTGCTTCATCCAGCCACCGACTTATCTCAGCAATGCCGCCGTCTACTGCCTCCAGCTGAGTTATTATCTGTGCAAGAAGAAAAGCAAACATAATGGTACAACTATGAAATTTATTCTTTACTCCTTATCTGGTAATTCTACTTAATCTTTAATTCTCCTGATATTTAGTGTGTGTGTGTGTGTGTGTGTGTGTGTGTGTGTGTGTGTGTGTGTGTGTGTGTGTGTGTGTGTGTGTGTGTGTGTGTGTGTAAATTGATATATACACGAGTTTATGAGTAAAAAAGAAATATTCTATTCTTTCAGTTTTTATGGAGTTTTATCAAATAAAACATTCAAGAACTGTATTGAAGTTGTGGTTTGTTTACCAAGTCTATGAGGTCCTGTAAATGTTCACCAAGTTATGAGTAAAAGAGTAAAAGGCTTCTCCACTCGGCCTTATCACATGTTTTCTGTTACACATCATCACTTACTTGAGTTGTGATGTACATCTTCTGGGGAATGACTGCTCGATACCTGACAAGCTCTTCCTTTTCTTGCTTGAGAGACCACATCATCTTCTCTATCTCATCAGGTGTCAGGTCTTGGACAAGAGCCTGGAAGTCCTTGGATATATTTTTGAAGAGCAGCTCCATTTCTTCAATCTCAGTGTTCAGTTTCTTGAAGCAAAAGGAGATTTTTTATCAGTACAATGATGCCTATAGTGTAATTCCTGTAGAAATTCTAAATACCAGATTAATGTATTGAGAGCAGTTTGTTTCTGGCATCTATGTATGTAAAATAATGCACGATTAGTTGTGGCTAACACCTTACACAAGCAGAGCACACACAATCTCTTGACCTATCAGAGCACTGCTTCTTTAGACCACCAATCAGCTAAGGGCTTCCTTCCAACACCAGCAGCAGTATGTCATCAAGTGTTGGGTAATACTGTACAGAACATAAACACTATTATCTGGAGTGGTCCACTAAAACTGCTCTAAGAAATAGTAGTCTTTCTAGATTTTTCTTGTACTGTATCTACAAAACTAAACTATTAATGGTTTCATCATACAAGCTTAATTTAAGTGTTTGAACTCACTACAGTAACTGGGAAAAAAACAAATACAGTACAGTTTTGGACATAATTTCTTTATACAATTTTATTTGCTTCATTAATTTTTTACTTAAGACGATTGGTTTTTTTAATGTAGATTAACAGTTATGCAAGTCTCATTTTCTGTTTGATCTATCAAAGAACCTTCACACATTACTTTAATTACTCTCAATTTTTCCACTGCAAACCTGAGTACTGTGCATGTCAACTCCACGTCTTGAGTGTTAATGAAGGTCATAACAAAGAACAGACCAGCCGCTTGAGCGGTTAATAACCTGACAAGTGGTGGAAATTGTGAATTACAAAAAATCTTTACTGTAATAATAATAATAATAATAATAATAATAATAATAATAATAATAATAATAATAATAATAATAATAATCTTTTCAGTATGTCAATGATTTACAACACAAGACACTAACACACCTTAAGCTGCTCTCTGTACGACTTCACTGCCTCAACAGTGCATACGTTTGTGGAATTGAGAATGACCTCAGCATTCTCAAGCCACAGTTCTAGCCGGTCCTGTCCGGACTGGTAGTCGTTCTTGGTTCGAATTATCTGGCCACGATGGAGGTACTGCTGCACGTACTAAGGTGAGGGGAAAAAGTATTCATTGAAAAAGAGAAGGAGAGTAAGAAAAGATGGAGAGCAATGTACTGTACAGACTTACAGTACAGTACATGCCAGGAACTGTTATAAGATACTTTATTGTTAACATTTGTGGTACAATAAAACACAAGGATGACCTGTTTAAAAATGTGAAATAAATTAGTGTAAAGCAGCCAATGCAGATGTGTGCAAGATGGATTCAATCTTCTTTAAAATATATATACATAAGTATATATATACACTGTACACTGTATTCCATCATCTATATAAAAGATTTGGAACACTACAAAAAGTTATTAATTTAAAAGACATATCCCAGAGATAAACAGATCACTTAGCTAAAGGATAATTATACAGTCTGGGATCCACCTACTTGTTAATACATTATAATTATATTAAGTGGAGAAAATACTTTAAGGATGTGATGGTTGGTGGTGAGGTAAAGATGCCTGGGTACTGATAACACAGGATGACCAGCAGAAAAGCAAAATGCTAGGGAAAAACAAGATTGGTGGAGAGGAACAGAAAACTACAGTACAGTATAATACTGTACAGTAACTACAAAAAGCTGGGAGGTAAAAGTATTCAAGATGATATGACTAACTGTAAGAGGGAGAGAAGGACTGGGCAGGCAATGGCAAAAGTCTGTGGTTAACTTTTTAATTTTTGGAATCTATAGTGGCTGAGGCGAGATCCTGTACAATGGAGAACTATTATGTGTGAAGGAGGAAGACAAGATGACACATGTAGAGTTGAGAAGTGTTCAGGTAGTCAAGTGGACGTTGACAATTCACTTTACTACATTGTTAATTAATCATGATACAAATACCCCAATATGGATTACATATATAATTTGCACTAGTGTATTATTTTCCTAATACTGTATTCACCTCAGGCAGTATGTGGCTGGGAGTGAAGGAAAGCTGACAGGTGATGAAAATAATTCAGAAACTATATTTATAAACAAAGATTTAAGTTGTAACTTTATGATCAAAGTCACAGATTTCAGCATTAAAGGAGTAAGAATATTTAGGCCCAAATAAAATTTACAGTAATCTTACTTCCTTTTCCAATCAAGAATAATAAGACAACCTTCTCTACCCATAAGAATTGGGGCCGAGTCCTGATGGGCTCTGGTAAAACTGGGTCCCAGGCCTAAAGGTCCTCAATATATTGGACTGTAATAGGTTAAATAAGTTTAATTTGGGACCTGTAAGGACTTATGCCCATTTGACCTGTAACTAAGTTAGTACTACATTCTCCTACATCAATTCATATTAAAAATTAACTGAATCAAAATCTTACGTCAGCTGACCATCAACACGGCAAAAATACAGTACAAGTATTTGTTCGCATAATGTTGTGCCTAACAACCTAAACACAACACAATACAATGAATAAAAGAAATAATCTATATAAATGTACAGTATTAATCACTACAAAATCACTTTGTATTCAATTCATTACATCAGCAGCAAAATAAATTGCAATTCTGGTAAGTTAGGGTACCATACAGTACAGTAATATGGTAATGTAACTCACACTGTAGATCTGAAAATCATATTGATTTACAGTCAAGACTTGTACACAAAAACATAAGATAGAGTCAAGAAGCACTAATAATCTACTGTGGTGTCACGTGCTCTGATCTGTTCATCAGTTCCATGTAGTACATGTACAGTATTACACAGAGACATGTGAGATAATTAGTGCCATGGAAATGAAGCAAGTTTGACGGCAAAATCTGATAATCACTACACGTTGTCTCGGAAAAAATGTATACAGATCTTCAAGGAGATCGTGTGAATGTTTGTATTATAACAGACAACATTGTCCTAACCTGTTGATGTACAAAGTGTCCCACAATGTTGAGGTTGTAATATGAACATTCACACATTCTCCATGAAAATCTTTAAGGCCATGTTTATATTGTTTTCTGAGACACTCTGCATTAGTGTACCACAGCAGTGAAGCATATAAGTGACTGTCAACGTGGATGTTGTGTCTCACGAATATCAGCTCAAAATAGTGTGCAAGGTGACAATACTTCAACCGTCGTGTTGTGGAGATGAATGGTGCAAATTAAGCTTGAGGTGGGTCTTGCAATGGCAGTAACTCTTAATCATTAAGCTGGTTTACCCAATTAATGATCACCAGCCAAGCACTATAGTCATCTAAATTATACATACGGTACTTAACTATTAAATAAACCATAAATTTCTATGATGTCAATATCAGTTTCTTATTGACTTGCATAATAATACTAATAACTTAATTATTTTAGGAATCAGAAAAATGAAAAAAAGCATATCAATATTAAGGACTTTGATTCTATTCAAATTTGGTCACATGAACGGTCTGCTTACCCAGTGATATACCGCGCTGCACTGAATAAGAACGAACAAAGGTTGAGTCAAAGTTTTCAGCGAGCCAAGTACCAGAAAACATTCATTAATTAAACTGTGTACTGTACTGTGTAAGTCTATTAGATAAATATTGAAACTCATCTCTTGACTAGTGAAAAAAAAAGACTTAACATTCACAAAACAACAGAACTCAAGAAAAGAATGAAGTGAAGGATAAAACAGGATTAAAACAAGAATAAAGATGAAATAAACACAGTGGCAAACAGGATAAGTGAAAAGAAAAAGTAAAAAGTAAAAGTTTGGAAGAACAAAAACTACAAAAACACAAGAGTGAGGACAAACACAAGAACCATAAGCTATATTCTCTAAATTTTATCTTACAATTATTAAGACATTGATGACACACAGTTAAGACATAAGTGACACACAGTTAAGACATTGGTGACACACAGTTAAGACATTGGTGACACACAGTTAAGACATTGGTGACACACAGTTAAGACATTGGTGACACACAGTTAAGACATTGGTGACATAATAAAGTATTAAAGGTTTCTATGTGTTTCCCAATCAGTAAGAATCACTGTACAGTGGACGTCTAAATAATGAATCTATACTTCACTTTAGGGTTTATGTATATTGTATATATGTATTTTGTATAATCCTGGATGCTTTACCTCACTAAGTACAGGATGGCTGAAACTAAGAGCAAGCCTCGACTTTCCCTTCATTCACTCGTTCATCCTCACAGCTATAAAAGATGTCTCCACTGTGGTACTCCCTTCCCACAACAACACCCTGAGTAGTGTATCTGTTTTAACACCGCCACATCAACACATCCCAGCATCACCTGGTAACCTCCAAACGCTTAGTCACTACAGTATCACCTGAACTGCCAAGGCATATCAGATGCTCTCCTATAAGATTAATTACAGTACCATTAAAACTGTCTCCATATATTTTTTCTTCAAGGTTTTCAGACATTTATAAAACTATGGTTGTGTAACCTGGACGTTGTGTGTGTAACATACAGTTGCAGAAAGGTGTTCATACATCAGCTGTGGTAACCCTCGTCTCCAAATGGCCAACCTATATGATCTATAGCAAACCTATCCACCAATCATGTCCGTTGTTACACGACCAATACCCATTCATTCATAAATAATGATACTACTCCTGTGACGTTGCCGTTTGGAGACACATGTTACCACAGGGAAGTAAGAACAAATTTCCACAACTGTACCTGTATAGCAATATTCTGACTCACGACTTGGTATGAATTTTCCTCAGTTGTAATGGTAAGTCTCTTTTACGCAGATCCTATGACCTCACAAGCATCATGTAAACAATAAGGAAATTAACACATCAAAACATACATGGCTGGCTGGCTGAGGGAGGATGAATATGACTGAATATACATCATACATAGTGAAGGATATCATGGATCACAGCTGAGTCTGGTACGGTATTAAAGGGTTTTCCAAGATGACATTTTGTGATTGGCTGAGGGAGGAAAGGCCACAATTCAACAGCAGCCAATCATACTCACCTCCCAAGTGGCTGTGGCTTCTCCTCCGAACATACCCTAATCAAGATAGAGATTATGGTAGGCAAATAAAACCTTCTTCCATACTTTTTTCTTCTTCTTTTTTTCTTTTCTAAGCTAAAAGTAACTTGTATCATCATAAAAGTAATAAAAAAAAAATCGCTTTTTACACCCATATTTAGGATGTCTCTACAATGTTCGCTCTAACACATGTTTCTCTATAATATAAAGTACAGAACAGGTTATCAAGAACCCTTCATACTCTACTTCACTACTATCAAGGAATTGGGAAGATTAAAAAAATTATTACTAAATGCACAGTGAATTTATCTGCACGAGTCAAAAACATAAAAATTTAAATGATTTCCAACTGAATAAGACTCTCTATGTACTGTCTGAGGTTTCATTTCTGGATAACATTACTGATGGTCTGTATGTGAGAATTTTTCTTATTTATGACCAAAAACACAATAAATTCCTCTTTGCCCTCTTCTATAAAACATCCCTGTGTAAATATTTCCCCTTTTTTATCATACTTTAAAGTTCTTAATAGAATGATCTGACTAAAAGTGTAACTGACAGATCAACTGATGTTGTACGGTGTGAACAAATTTATTGTATCATATTTCACTGATGCCAAATATTGTGTGTACACTAACTCAACATCAGAATAATGAACAAGGACATGTTCAAATTAATAAATCTATTATATACAACAGTAAATGAAGGAAAAAATCATGAAATATTATAATAAAAGTTTAAAACATTTAACAATTTATAACCCAAGAAAATCAACTGTTTTTATTAAGGCAAAGAATGTGATTTATTTAGTATGCATTATTCGTATTCAGAATATTAGATACGTTTATTTAGTGCAAACAAGAATATTTGCAGGCCAAGAGACGTGGACCTCTCCTACCTGGAACAGTTCATCCCATTTGGTGTTGACGTTGATGAGCTTCTCCCGGATCTCCTGTGCTACTTCTTGCCGGCACGTAGCGGCCAGGAAGTTGCCGGTCTCGTTCATCTCACCGTGTCTCTCCTTCCACTCTCCCAGATCCTGTACACAGATGGGAACAGCAGAGTGTGTCTCAGTGTACAGTACAGACACAGCAGGATGGGTGAATACATCAAGTCTTTCAATACAGTTTATTTCATCATCAAAGGAAGAGAAATAAATTAAACAGCCATTTATCATACATAACACAAAGAAATAATACAAATATTTAAAATTAGTAAAAACCTCATAAAAAAAGCATAGTATTGTACTGCATAGTAAATTTCAACTGTTCATAAGGCCACTGCTATTTCTGTTTCCTCTGGCCAATATTATAAACTGTAGTAAGATTGTAATAATCAGAAGAATCACAATACTCATACTGTATAATCATTCATAAACACAGACCTAATCTTTACACTAATCCCTTCTGTAAGAGTTACTGTAGTTTCATATTTGTATCTGATACTCTTCGGTGGAAAAAACCGACTCATTAATCATTGGAATCATAATTTATATATGAATCTTATTGTGGTAGTCCAGGATTTTCTCACCTGGAAATAATCCATCTTGTCCTCCTCTGGCAGGCTGACCATGGCCAGGGCCCGGTCCAACCACGACTCAAACTGCTGTGTGAGCTCAATAAACTTCTTCCAGTAGGTGATGACCTCCTCCAGGAGACTCTGGATACACCTCAGCTCCACCGACACGTTCTTCCAGCGCTCATTCATTTCCAGAAGGAATTTGGCAATGCCATCACTCTCGGCCTTACCTGAGGTGAGTGAGAGAATTTTATGTTGCGATTAACAATTTGTCTCAAAGATTTCCTCACCCCACAGTATACAGGTATTTGTAATTCAAAGGACCTAACTGTAAATAAGTATCTGGTGGCTTTTTCGGTTAGCCTTGGTCATATCGCCTGACTGTTTATTATTGTTGTATACCTGCACTGCCTACATATACAGTATTGGAAACTGTATACTGTACCTCCAAGGTCTACCCAGTATGTAAAACATATACGTATACTGTACCTGCATTGTCTATACACACTCTGAAATGTATACCAGCATGGTCTATTTACATGTAAAACCAATTGTAAACTTGTATGATGACTATACTGAATATACAGTATATCATTATTATTATTACTACTACAAGATGAACCACATCACCCGGTTAAAATATTTGGTGTCACATAACATTTGACATAACAATGTTTTGTAATTCATTCAACATTATACCTGTATACAGATTTTCCAGTCTATTTCTATTTTATATTTGGTCCTTACATTATGGCATCACATAATAACAATGTAAACACAACTACAGCAGATGAGAAGAACTGTAATGAACATATTGCATTATACACAGACTACAGCATAGGATTATTAGTTCCATATGCAATCAAGGGTGACTCTTGTATATGCATTATGACGTCTCTAGCAACCTCACTTACTTAAATTGGAATCTTTCTTGTAAGCTTCAGACACTTGCTGCATTTCATGGAAAGCTCGGTCGAATTCTTGGAATATATTTCGAGTTCCGACAAAGGATCGATACTCTGCGAGGATCTGCTGAACTTCTTGCTCTTTGCCATATTTCACAGCCCAGGTCTTCAATTTTGCTTCCACTAGGATCAGGAAGGCTACCAGGCAGTGCTAGGGAGAGTTAAACAAGAGGACACAAGATTATTTAAAATTCTGTGTACATTGACATACTTTGTAGGGTCTAAATATACTGTACTACAGATATTTCTCTGCCACTCAGCACAGTATACTTCCACACAGCATACTGCCACATAGCACACTTCCACACAGCACACTGCCACATAACGCACTTCCACACAGCACACTGCCACATAGCACACTTCCACATAGTAACCCCAACATATTGACAGATTCCTACACTAACATAACATTTTCACCTCTACAATTCCTAATTATGCCTTTTTATATTATTCAATCTTTCCCTTCCCTACCACATTTATTTCCCTGACCATTCAATCTCTCTCTCTCTTCACTATCTATCGCTCACCACCTCCATTTACTATTCCCGTTCAATCCATCTCGCCTTTCAATATTTGTTTCTCATGGAACAATTAACAGAAACAATAAAAGGACATCCACAGGCATCAGCTACAAACCTTCATAATTTTACAATATATACAGTACAGTATCTATGTTGACATCATATATGAACGATGGTGACAAAGATTCCAAAATACTACAGTACCGTACTGTATTCCTGAGCTGTAACTGCACTGAGAAAGCAAACTACCTTATAAAACTACAGTATTTGAATTTACAGAATAAAAGGAACACTTGAAGAATCTCCACCCCAACGTATTTCACCACCCTAACATTATTTGGGGGATAAGGTTAGGTCAGTGTTAGGTTAAGATAGGTTAGGATACATTAGGTTAGCATTAGGGTGGGTTAGGTTAGCATTAGGGTGGTTTGGTTAGGCTAACATTAGGGTAGTTAAGCTTAGGTATAATAAGCTGGGGTGGAGATTCTTCAGGTGATCCAAATAAAAACATAAAACCAAGAGCCATCACAAAGAACAACACAAATCCAAGACTCACTCTGTGCTCCAGGTACTTGAGTTTTATCTTTCTCTGAGCGGCACGAGGGGCGATGGTCTTCAGTCTCAGCTCCATGTACTCAAGCTGCTGCTGCGGGATGGTGGCTGCATCTGAGGTACTCTTCAGGGACTCGAACTTGGTGGTAATTGACGGTAATTCAGCGAAGAATGTCTTGTGTTCTTCTATCTTTTTACTCAGTAGGTTGGCAATCTGGGGAAGGATTATTTCTCATATTGATGGAGTTGAGAGAACGGGGTAGTGAATTCATCTGTAAGAGTGCCAGCACAGAACTAGAGGACAGTGGGACAACCCCCACCCGCTCTACCTCCCACCCAAGAGGAAGCAAGCACCATCTCAACAATATCATCTCTGACCACACCCCTCAAAATACAGTAGCAAACACTGCAGCTGTTGAGAATGGAGGGAGGCCAGAGTCACTACCAAGATCAGAGACGTTACTGGGAACAAATTCCGGCTTGAAAGTCCTGTACACTAATACTGAGATGTTCCTTGATAAGAGAGAGGCGTTTGAAACACTACTGAAGGTACATCAACCTCATATAGTAGGAGTTGTAGAACTGTTGTACAAGAACAGGAGAATCGACCCGGAGGAATGTGAGTTCAATTTACAGTAGATGGATAAGACTCATTTACAAACCTTTCTCAAGCAGCTTGCAAGATGGGTATGGTTAGCTATGCTAGGCAAGACCTTAGAGCCTGCCAGGTGAGGGTACAGGAGGAGGATGTTTTTGAAGAATTAAAGTGATGTAAAATAAAATTATAGGGGAGAGCCTTACTAATTGTAGGGTGTATCTACAGATCCCCAAACAATATCTTATTAAAACAAAGGAACTTAAAGCCTTAATAGATAATGCAACAGTGCTTAACCCTAGCCACCTCCTTGTCATGGGGGACTTTAACTATGGTGACATCGATTGGAGAAATAAACCATGCCAAATTACCTAAATAACCCTCACTACTGTTTTTGTAAAACTCTGAGAGACAATTTTCTGTTCCAACATGTTACTTTTTCTTTAACTTTTATCCTCTTCGCCACTGATCGGCTCGTTAGCCACTTGGGTGGTCGGTCAGTCTCTGTTACGCACTGTTGGCAAATACTGGGCATGCACTGGCTCCTGAACATATTGGAACCTGCTCCAGTGTTAGTCAAGTCTGGCCATGAATGAGCTCACACTAGGTGCCATTACAACGCTCTCTGGCAGATTGTGCCAAGAGTTCATAATTCTCACTCCGAAAAAGTTTGCCCTCACAGTTTTCTGGACTTGTGGCTTCTTCAATCTTGAGCTGTGACCCCTTGTGGGGCGGACGTCCGCCAAATCCAGGTATGTACATTCCACTGAGTTGTGCCCCCTGAGATGTTTATACACTTCGATTAGGTCACCCCTCGCCTGTCTGTAGTATAAGCTAAGTAGATGCAGGCGCTCCAATCTCTCTGGGTAACTCAGGTTCTGTAGAGCAGGCACCAGTCTAGTGGCCCTCCTTTGGACATTTTCAATCAATTGACAGTCTCTAGCATACCTCGGGGACCAGACAAGGTCACAGTACTCCAGATGGGGAAATACCTCACTCTTTATGATTTTGATGAGAGCCGGACCATCCAGATATCTAAATGACCATTTTATAAGACCTACTAGTTTCTTTACCTGATTCACCTTCTTCTCACAATGGCCCAAGAACTTAGGTTCATTGTCGACATACACACGCAGGTCCTTTTCACATTCAGTCTCAATTACTGCAGTCTCTTCATTCTGTTGGGACATGTGATGCAACCCAGGTGCATCCTTTTGCACTTCGTGACATTGAATCTTGACAGGCATTTCCTCAACAATTCTTGAAGCTCACAGAGGCCTTTCTGTAGCTTTTCACAGTCTGTTTGGTTCTTAATTTCCCTAAATAACTTGGCATCGTCCACAAACATTTGTATGAGCTGTTTCAAGACCAGACTTGACCAGCACTGGAGCAGGTTCAGATACATTCAGGAGCCAGTGCATGCCCAGAATTTGCCAACAGTGCATAACAGAAACGTGACTGACCAGCCAAGCAGCTAACTAGCCGATTAGTGGCAAAGAGGATAAAGTAAAAAGTAAAAGTACAGAGTTAAATACTGAAGGAGGTAATGTTAATACCTAGTATGTATATATTCATGGGGCCAACTCTTAAAGCTCCTATGATTCTTGGCACTAAGATTGGTTGGAGTGATGAGACAAATATTGGGAATTTAAAGACTAATTAAAATACGATACTCCGGTTATGTTATTAGAGATGAGGGTAAAATGGCAGGATGATTCACGGGTAAACATAAGGTATAAAGGCCATGGGAAAACAAATTGTCCCTGGAGAGATTCAAAATTTGGAAGGACTGAAAAAGTCAGCCTGGAAATTTTTTAAGTTTTGGGCCGAGGTGGCTGATATTCACAACTACGAATGGAATAATTAATCTAAAACCATAACAATATTCTTACCTCATCATTCTTTCCATAGAGCTTGTCCTCTGTGCCCAGCATGGACTCAGCACGGCTCAGCCACTCACCAATAGGACCGAGAGCACCTGGGAGAGAGGCATCCAAGAGCCACGTCCAGTGTGACATCTGAACCGCCACCTGTGGGGTTGGTAGTACAGTAAGAGTGTTTGATAAGCTGAAAACAAACTCAACATTTACTATGGCTCTCTGTTGTACAGTTAAGTGACCACTGAAAGAATATACGCTATTTAAAACTTTTCTTCCTTTAATATGAAAAATATGATGAACCAAAGCTTGTTCCTAAGTCCTGCAGCGAACATTTGCTAGTAAAAAAAAAAAAAGAAGATAAACCGGAATAGTAAAATATGGTATTTCTTTATTCATCCTGAGTTACTGTGCATTGAAATATAACACTAGTACTGTATAGCTATATTGTTAAAATAAGTACAGTCTGTGATATTTAGTGACAGCCTTAAATATATCACTAATCTATTAATAAAATTATAGATAATAATAAACTACTGAACTGTACTGTACTGTATTCCTTTAACTCTACAGAGAGTCCAGATACATGTCCCAAAGGAACTTGGCCAAAGGTCCACCCTACTGGGGAACTAAGCCCATGATGACTCACTCACAAGATGAGAATAATATCCTCTAACCCTCTTTCATGTTACCGTACCTTAATCATGATATCTTCTCAACTTATAGTGAGAAGTTATTGTTGGCTTGAAGGAGGAAGATGTAAACAAGGTTACTCTCCCCATAATAACCCATCCTTTCAAGGTCAGGGGCTGATGACCACCTCTTCATACAACACCACACATATAACTTGTCTCGTACAGTAATATTGTTGTTATCTAGTACAGTTACTAAATGTCAGTCAGTCAGTATTTAGAAGAGAACACAATGCAAACAATTACAGTAATAGTGATTTTTTGTACTGTACTGTACCTTGTTCCAGGAGGCTGTGATGTCAGCCCAGCAGTCGGCCGTGATGGATATCATGGATGACTGAGACGCCACCAAGCTGTGCAGCTTCTCGTAGATCACCGTCTTTTCATCTGCTTCGGATTTGAGGGCTTTGAATCTCTGCAGGTTGCAATAAATAAATAAAATGAAGCACGGTCAAGGACTCTAGTGAATTATAGTAAATAAATTAACTAAGGACAGATTATGCAAATGAAGCCAAAGGCCAAATAAAGAGAGAACACATTAGCTGTATCACTCAGTATTAGTACATTAACTGCCACGACCAGCAACTGGGCACCACCTTGTAATCACCCAAAGAGGCGGGGTTACTGAGGACTAGTGTTAGTCCTTTTAAAGTCTAGTCACCATACTCTAATAAAATACTCTGTCTGCCTACAGGAAAAATATCTTATACATTGGTCTGTTTTGAGTGACAAGATAAATATAGTACTAAAAGCAGCATTTACTACACTAAAGACAAAATGGAATGATCAACAAAAGATGCTCGTCCTAAGTTCCCCCTCACACCTTTCTGAATTCTGGGTGGAAGTTGATGGGTTAATCTTTTCTAACATTAGGAAACCATTAATATTATTCCTCACTGCAAACTCTCCCTTGTACGGAACCATCATAAACTGACCTCGTAGTTGATGTTGCCGTGTGTGGCGGGGTCATGTAGCGTGTCGAGCCAGTTAGAGGTGTGAGAGAGCCACGTGGTCAGTTCTGTGTACTCCATCTCTATCTCACTAAACATGTCTCCTGATGATGCAGCTTCCAGTGTTGGACTCGTACATGGCTGAGGGCACACAAGATGACATGTCCATTTATAACTTTATCAGACATTTGACCTTTGTGGAAAAATGCCAGAGATGAGGCACGAAAATAAATAAGAATACATAATTGACTTGTATGTATTTATGGGGTTTTTCATGAGCCAATACACATCCCTTTGAACAAATAATAATATAGGAATAATGTAATAGGTTTATACGTATTATGTCAGTACAGTATGTTGATAATGATAAAGTTGGGATATAAAATACTGATTACATTAACTTAATACAGTATTACTTTAACAACATTACATTTAAGATATCTTGGGAAATATTAATTCCAAAGTCTGTAAAACTAATTTAAAGAGACAAATGTTCCTCTGATTAATCTGCAATATATTTCACAAATTCGCAAGACAATTAATTTAGAGGTCACAGTAATAATGGTGTTTAGGAGGCCACTGCCATATACTGAACAATACTGACATGCAAACCAGAGTGAGAATAACAGTTAGAGATTAATACTCCACTAACCGGAACTATGGTGGTGCCCGGCTCAGGGAACTTATTAAGGAATGCTGCAACGTAGGTCATAATGGATTTCTCGTCGGGTTTGTCCACATCCACGTCCTCAGAGTCGATTAGATGGGGGATGCCCAGACCCTTGTCGGCGATGCGGAAGGCAGCCTCGAGGCGAGCTTTGTTGGTCATCTGGGTCATAGTCTGTGGCAAATATTAACTGAGATGATGAACAATATAACATCTTCTTCAGTGAGATTAATTGTATTCTGTGACTTATATTCCTCTCCTTTCACTGTGTGGGGTTGAAAGGAGGTCATGATAATAAGTAGAAATATTCACACATACTTTATTAAATGTGATAAATAGTAAGATCAGAGAGAGATTAATTACTTGTGTATACTGTATTAGGAAACTACATAATAATTCGTTGCTGTAGTTACTCCTGTGAATGGGGGATTAACCTGAAATAAATGAAATGCAACTAAAACTTGTTATACACTAGGCTATGAGGTATGGACAATGTCTAACTCTGAAGGGAATGAGGAATTTCTCCACCTCTCTTGCCAAAATTTTCGAAAGTCAACTCATTGGTTAAGAAAGTGATAATTTTATTCCTTAAATTTTAACGTACAGTACATCGATTTAGATAAGTACATTAAAGCACATTAACTGATTTGGCAAAGACTGTAGAAAATTCTATTTGTGGACCATAGCAGACATACAATTTTGAGAAGGTGAAAACATAATACCCCACAATAATAATAATAATAATAATAATAATAATAATAATAATAATAATAATAATAATAATAATAATAATTACAGAACTACAAACACTCCATCTCACCTGCATGTTAACAAGTCGCGGGTTGATGCAGTGTATGAGGGCCAGAAACGCATTACCGTCTCGCCAACTAGTTCCAAAATCATTTACAACAATACCAAACTTCCTGTAAGAGAAAATAATACCCAGAAATTACATAAGTTAAATTTCTTCTTCACTGCAAAAGATAATTTAATACTTTCTTTAATACTGTTATTTTTAAGATATGCAACCAGGGGGATGTGGTCACATGACTCCCTACAGACATTTCAACTGGAATGTTAGGTATCCATTCACAGCTAAGAGAACTATGGGAGCCCTGGGCATGAACCAGCAACCCTAAGGACAAGAGATGAGTGTTGTATATCCACTCAGCCAGCACACCCCACACAGACAATGCAGGCATACAAAAATGACTTCCAGTTAATTGATTCAACCAATGGAGGCCAAGAGAGTATTGACTATAGTAACAGGGAAATGATAGAGGTAACCACTAATGTTATGAAGTTACTGATCCACTTCAACTACTAAGGTAAGTGTGTAATAAGGTTAGTATAATAATCAAACTAGTCCATAATGAGCTAAAACTTTCTGTATAGACAGACAAATACAATGTACAGTCGAGAAATTGAACTCACTTGGTGACGGTCTGACGCACCCACTCGAGAAGGGCCTTCTTAGCGCCCATCTTCCACTTCTCTGCAGCGGCTGAGCGACGAGTGACGGAGGGGGGACGGTCGCGGGATATCGTGCAGCCCTCCGTCGACGACGCCACCGAGAAGGGGGAGTCGCTTCTCGTGCCTGCCTCCTGCTCCATCAGCTGGCTCAGACGCTCCAGCTGACGGGTATTTTCCTCGATCTGGTGGAGTCCCGACAGGTGTTTAGTAGTGGGTGATGGTTGTTGTGGTGGAGGGAGAGTAAATGATGGTTGTTGTGATAAGAATGAAGATGGGTGTTGTGGTAGAAAGAGTGAATGATGGTTGTTGTGGTAGAGGGAGAGTGAATGATGGTTGTTGTGGTAGAGGAATAGTAAATGATTGTTGGTGTGGTTGTGAATGGAGGTGGTGTGTGTCACATTTTTACTGTGTATACAGTATACTTGGTTTCCATCAACTACAAGAGTAATCTCCAGCTCCCACATTATAAACACGTGATATATTTATGGTCCTTCCATTCCAATTTCCAAGAGAGGTTTGATGATAAAGTTCCCAGGGTTTGGTTTTGATCACTGTATAACATTTTGTTATTAACTATGCATCCATATTTCTGGGATAGTTGACATACCTGCACTGAGTTTGGTTAGTTCTTTCCACAATTAATTCCCAAGTAACTTTTTGCACTTCCGTGATTATGAAAGGTCAATCTGTAGCCTGTAGATAGCTCTGTAGCCTGTAGATAGCTCTGTACCCTGGGTGTGGCGAAAAAGCATACTGATTTTTTTCTTCCCTGAACCAGTAGACAGCGTGAGTGTTGTGGTGTGCCTGTGTCTAATACTGCCACACTTCCTAATTACCATCCACATAAGTTACCTAATTCAGGCACCCTCGAAGTTCTCAAACACTCGCTAAGTGGTTTAAATTACTTGAATTACATTATGTCTGATGTATATACGGTCATGTAGATTATTAAATAATTGATGTGACATTGTGGTAGGAGTGAATGGTGGTAACAGGTTATTGTGGTGGAGGGAGAGTGAATGATGATGAGTGTTGTGGAAGAGAGGACTTGAAAAATGAATGTTATTGTAATCTGGTGAGAATTATCGCGCCTTTAAAGAGACAGATAGATATATAAATAGATGGAGAGAGCGAGAGTAAACTTATCTACAAATGATGAATTAGGTTTTAACTGAGTGAGAAAAAACTACACAAATATTCAGAGAAAAAATTCGAATAACCAGTCCATTTATTATTGTCAATATTAAAATAAATGCTGAAATGAATTACAAATACAGTCTGTAGGTGAACAAATAAATTAACAAAACTTATACTGCGAAATAATAGTTTAAAATTAGATTAGATTACACATTTTTAGCCATCATAATTTAGTACAGTGTAATATCATGCATTAAATGTATAATATATTTAAATGGGGAATTAATAAAGAAAGACGTTATTAATTAGACATATAATTCTTAATCCTTCATACTCATTCTAATTGTCATCGAAGCCTTGCGAGTGGAGAATTATAGCCTCGCGCCAGCACAAAATAATATAGCCGTCTCTCTAAGCTATTTTGTGTCTGTGTCTGTCATGGCTGGCTCTCTATAAACTAATTTGACTGCATATGTGCTCTGAAATGCTGTGAGTCGCGTGAATTTTTCTAAATACAAAAAACAAAGAGTGTTGGTAGGCGGTGTAAAAAAGTTTATCGAAGCACAATAAATATAAACGAAAATAATGGTTGAAGTAGGTCACCATGATTGGTTTAAACCTGTGACGTCGTGTTTGTAATCTAAAAGTAGGCTCCAAATTGAAAAAAAAAATGATATTTTTGATAACGTATAATGGGATAAAAATAGAAAAAAAAACTATCTTAACAATGCCACAGTTAGATTAAGTTTGGTTAACTCGTTGGTTTTAGAAAAAGGTGTCATTAGATATTCCGGCCAATCACAGTTTGGTTGGCGGGCGCTCTGAAGCCGATTGTAAACTGGCAAATTCCTTGGAAATAATGCACCTGTATACGTTAATTTCAATGCTAAATGAACGTACCTAGTTTAAAGTAGTCTCAGTGTAATTATGATACTATAATATTAATTTTGTGTTTTAGTTTAGGTTAACCAGTTACGTACAATTCAGTCTTATACCTTCAGTTACAAGGAATAGCTATCGTACAAACGGTAAAATTGTCGAACAAATTATCCAAATAAAAAAGTAATTAATGGCAATAACTTATATTCTATTCTATCTAACTCTACATAAATACGATCAACTGCCCCTTTACAAAGAGCAAATGTTGGTGCTACTAAAACTAAGTGGCGGTGGTAGTGGCGCTGGGTGAGGTGGTGGCCGTGTAATAAGTGAACCATGCAAGGCGAACGAGCAGGCCCCCGACCCCTTTCCACACACAGACTGGACGGGCCGAGAGGAAAAAACTCACCAAGTCGATAGCGTCATCCTCCTCCCACTCATCCCAATCCACCTCCTCCTCCTCCCAATCCCACTCCATATCCTCAGGTATTTGGATCTATGCATTAAGCGAGTGGTTGAGAAGGTAGGGCATAGATTTTAAATAATAGTGTGTTAGAATAGGTGGATGCTCGACTACTTTCACAATTTAATATTATTAGTTTTACTCGATACCCGTCACCTTATTTCACCTGATGATTAAAACACCCTAATGCTTCCTGTGGAGTTAGGTTAGGTGAGGTTCAGCTAGTGTAGGCTAGTGTTAGGTTAGGTTAGTTTAGGCTAGTGTTAGGTTAAGTTTGGTTAGGTTAGGTAGTGTTAAGGTAGTTAATATTTAGATGAAATAAGCTGGGGTGACGAGGTTTCAGGTAATCGGAAACTAATATTCAAATTCACGCTGACAATCTTCAAAAAATAATGAACAGCGGTGTGGACTAACAAAATATACCTTAATTTACTTACAAACAAACAAATAAACATTGTTCTTGACTACATTGAACTAATTGTTGACAAAAAGCAATATCCAATCTTACTGACTAATGGAGAATGTATATACTGTATACAACGTCAGAAATAATAATAATAATAATAATAACAATAATAATTCCTTGTTGCTAATTCTACGTTATATTATAATTGTCAACAAATTTATAACACTAAATTAGATTTTTTTCGCAAAATTAATATTTATATAAAGTCGACGACAGCCCAAATGACAATGCTCCAGACAGACAGCCTATCTGACACAGCCAATAAAACAAACTAACAGCCTCAACGAGAACTACGGGCGCATAATGGGATAACTGACGTTGATGTTATAATGTATTACTGGGCTTCAACAAACTTACAAATTAATAGATATCTTTATGTGTGTGTGTGATTTTAATGGTTAATAGTCATAACTGCGACATACAGGAGATACTGAACTAGATTAATTATGACACGTACAGTACAATGACCATACAAATCATCATATGACAAATACATTATAGACAACACTACTGTACTGTTAATCTACGCATATTATTTTACAAATATACAATAAAGAATATAGTTTTATTGTAATGTTCTCAAAGTTAAATTAGATTACGTCTTTGTTGATTTTGGATGGGAGGGTTAGGCTACATGTTTGGTCAGATTGTGAAGAAAGTCCCAACGACACGATTGAGAATATTTTAGTTCATCTACTTGAGGGTGGTTATGTAGGTAAGAGAGGATTATGGTTTATAACATCCATTAACTCAGACATTTCTTTATATTGTATTTTTGTTCCGTGTTGTTGTTCTGACGAAATTCATAATGTAAAAGTTGCGTTCACCAACTATAAACAAACCACAACACGAGCCACAAGTAAAAGCCAGATTTTGTCAAGTGTCCAGGGAATTTGGGCCACAAACTGTACATAATAGTTGTTCTTCGTTTTCTAAATGTCTCCCTTAATTATGTCTCAACTTCCTAAAAAAAAGTGGGAGCCCAAAATAAAAGAAAACGAGAACCTAAAGAAAGTGAGAACTAAAAAATAAACAAGAATCTAACATAAATAAAGTGGGAATGTAGAGAAAGAACAACCACATTGAAAACAGGAACTTAAATTAGAAAAAAAAAACAAAGACCTTCAAGAATATGGCCACCTTAACAGAAACAACATTGTCCATCAAAGAAAACGGTATCCCTCATCAGAGAAAACATCATAAACTTTAAGAAATAGCCTCTGAATATTTTATTGGACTATCAACTTCAAGACGACACCAACAATTCATTAATCCACGGCACATCTAGCAGGAGGCATCAGAGCTGACACATCAAGGCCACCTAGAGTGCCAGAGACAGTGCCAAATTCAACCACAGTGAGATACAGTGTAGTGGACATATGTATACAAGGGTGAGGCAGATCTGTGAATGAAACAGTGAGCCATAAAATAAGATTTGCTGGATTTGTAAATGAAATAGTAAGTGAAACAAGAATCTTAAGATTCGCCACATTGGTAAATGAAACAGTGGACAGTGCACATTTAAATATAGATTCACTGGGTTTGTGAATGAAACAGTGAACCATAAAACAACATTAAATTTGCCAGATGTTGTGATTGAAAGAGTGAAGCAGAATATGCCAGAGTTGTGAGTGAAACCGTGAGGCATTATAACCAAGAATTGCCGGAATTCTGAAGTAAACAACAAGACAGTGCAATAATAACACACAAACTCACGTAATTGTGAGTGAAGGAACCAGATATTTCGAATCCACTCTGTAAACACAACTGGTCATAAGTGTGAATGAAAAGACGAGAGTACAGTGAAAGAAATACAGAGTAACAAAACATACCAGATTTGTCAATGAAAGAAATGCATTAACTATAATTTCCGGATTTGTGATTGAAAGAACCTAAACACACAGTGAAATAAATACCATAGCAACATTTCCCGGATTTGTGAATGAAATAGTGAAAGAAATAAACATTGGCCAATTTTGTGAATGAAATAACTCAACTTTTCAACAGTGCATCGCAAGGTGGTATAACTGAGTGCAAGAAGGATCTACAATGGGTGTGTTTACTTAATTTGTGAATCAGTTAATCAATGGAGCTACTAAGCGAGTTCACACCTATTTATTAATGAGTTAATGGGTACTGTAAGGGGTTTGTATTCCCTGGCTATTATATTTTGGTGATTTTTTTATGCTATTAAGAAACATATATACCTTTTTAGCTAAGAACATCGTCCTGAGGTTTCTTCCGGGTAATATTCAAGATCAGATACATCCATACACAATATCTACCAATACAAAGCCATAAAAATTCAACCATACACACAAATATCTTTCCTATTCTCTATCTATCTATCTATCTATCTATCTATACTGTATATCTATTTACCGTATCTATCTATCTCTCACTCATCTACTCCCTTACACCTCTATCATCACTACCACCTCTTCCCTCCCCCCACCCCACTATACTCTTCCACTTCAGTATAGCTAGCTGCCTGCCTGGGGGGAAGAAGGTGCTAAACCCCAGCCTCTGGTCGCTACACTCGGCGCAGCGGTAGTCATGGTGGAAGATGGGGGAAGCTCCTACCTGGAAGTATAGGATGATCGTCCATATCAGCCCCAGCACCACGGACGGTCGACCATCCACTAAGTCCGTCGGGTTGATGTTGACCAGTTTGATCTGAGGGAGAGAGAGGGTGATTATAGTGCTAAACAGTCAGAGAGGGGTAGAAAGGGGAAGTGGGGGTTAAAGATATAGAAGCGAATTATAGGTTGAAATCACTAAAATATAGTTTAATGTCCCAAAATATAGTGTAAATGATTAAATTGACGAAAATCTAGCCAGAAGTGACCAAAAATATAGCCAAAAGTAAAAAAAAAAAAGTAGCCTGGAATTACCAAAAATATAGCCAGCAACCCAAACTAAATTCAGAAGTGGCCAAAAATATAGCCATTGATCATAAATATAGCTAGAAGTAACCCAAACATATAGCGAGAAGTAACCCACAGCCCCTGACTTCACAAAACAACTAGGCTCGTACCCTCTTGCTCTGGAGAAACTGTAACGCGGTGTTGGCATTACTAAGGAAATGCGGGCGGCGGAGGACTCGACCTTTCTCTATAGGTAACTTCTCTCCCGACAACACCTCCAGCAGGGCCAACAACGCAGTGCCATCCTTCAAGTCCTCGATCAGTTCATTTAGCTTCAGCGGTGGAACATGCTGTAATGAAAAAAATACACATATACACACGGTCTTAATAACGTTGAAATAAGCATCGTAATTGGAAGGTGGTGACATACATACAGAGCTGTACAGGTATCAGCACTCTAGTATCATATAAAATTCACCCTAATATGTTGTAATATACACACATTATATATATTCGTACATGTAACAATAATGACACCTAATAACACTTCCAATGACAATAATGATACTTAAACTATAATGAACTTAAGATGACAATAATGGCACAATAACATTTACAAAGACAATAATGACACTTAAACATTATATTCGACTTAAAATGACAATAATGGCACATAACTTAAAATGACAACAGCACTTACAAAGACAATGACAATTATAATGACACTTACAATGCCAACAAAAACTAACAATAAGACCATCATAAAGTTACTCACCCGAGCTAAATGAGCGTTGATCCAGTTCATGAAGGTCTTCTTCTGCACTCTCTCCTGCTCATCTGTGGACCATAAACAACAACAATAATTACTGCACTGGTAACGATTACATTTAGGATAAGGTATTATTACATTTAAGATAACTATTATAACCCCCACAACAATTACAATGTTGATATTAATTATTTGCTTTCTATTTCCTGTCTGTCTGTCTGTGTGTCTATTTCTCTCCCAGACAGTCCAGGACAACACCCTCCCTCTCCCTCCCTCCCTCTCTCTCTAAACAACTGACAGTGACGTCACGCTTTCTTATATATACACACACGACCCTCCCGACGGCTTTGATGGACTGCCAGACGATGAAAGCTGTAGCACTAGCCAAATAGATTCACCGAGTTTGTTTTACTTTATTTAAACGGCGAAATATATTATCTGGTGTTTTATTGTATTTATCTAAGTGCAGAAATACAATAACTTGCTTGTGATGTATTAAAGTGCTACTACGGTTCACTGGTTTTTCGTTGCCACATTAGACTATAAAAATGTTTTTTTTTAGATAACTGCGGAATATTTACACGTATTATCGTCCGTAAATAAGTAAAATCTCAAAGGATTAAGTCATCGTACTCAAAAGATTAATTCATCGTACTTAAGGGGTTGTCATCGTACTCAAGCGCGCGTAACAAAATTAATAAACGAAATAATTATCTCGTATAAAAATATAACAAAAACAAACACATTCGTGAATTCCTTTTATATATTTGTCTTCCGTTAAGGAGTCAAGTTGTCTGAATAAGTTTGCACCCAATTGTATACCCACTCTAATGTGGACATCAAGCCAAAGTTAAAATTAACCCACCATCTGTGTTATCTGTCACTAAAAACTCGGCACCAACAAAGGAAACTTAACTTAAAATATGGAACAAGTTTTGCCTGCCACTATAGGGTAGAAAAATAAAACATTGTGTGGGCAGCAACGACCGTCACTACCCGCCACGAGATGTCATAGCCTGTGTTTGTTCACATCCATCAACGGCGCGGGGTGAGTGTGATGGACGCGCTGCTACCTTACGTCAACACAAACCCTCTTTACCCTTATGTATTTACCTGTAAATTTTTTCTAAAAGTGATGTAACATTATTTACATCTTTACTAATGCTAGGTGCCAGTTGCCTTTAACCGAGAAAATGTTAAGTATTTACAGAGTTGAAGTATCTGCGAGGTTGGGAGTCTTTATCTTTCCCACAAGCTGGTATGGGTACAAACAAACAAACAATACTTGTACAAACATGAAGGAATATGATCCACACAAGGGAACCAAACAATCAAGACAAACAAGAATCACACAATGGCGCCAATTAACCTGTAGATATATATACTAATACATCACATACACCTGTTTAAACATCATACACCCACAACACCTGTCAACATCCTTTCTACCAACATAACACACACCTGTCAACACATCTCTACCAACGCACCTGTCAACACACACCTGACAAGCATTCCACAACACAGTCCACGCGTCTAAATATGTTTATTCTTCCTGGTTTTATTGTGTGTGTGTGTGTGTGTGTGTGTGTGTGTGTGTTAAAGAGACGTATCTTCACTGGCCAAGAGATCACCTGCTCCTACCGCACCTCCACCCATACTTCCACCTCGCGACCCACACCTTCACCCTCGCCACCCACACCTTCACCCTCGCCACCCACACTTCCACCTCGCCACCCATACTTCCACCCCGCCATCCACAACTCCACCCTACCGCCCACACATCCACCTCACTACACACACCTCCATCCCGCCACCCACACTTTCACCCCGCCACCAGCATGTTACACAAGGATAGGCTAGGGCAGGGAGGAACTTACCTACCCTACCCTACCCTTGCCCAACACTAACTAGTCCGCCACGTTAGGTCTAAACTCCCTCACCTTACTCCCCTGACCCTCCCTTTACCCCGCACTCCCCCCTCCCCTCACCCTATCATGTCACCCCCTACACTTGACACCCCTGTCACGTCAATCCTCCCTCACCTCCCAACCACATCACCTGTTTTGAGTTGCGTCAGCTGCCCCTTCGAATCCCCTTCCTGAGGGACTGAAGAGACAAACAGAAATTCCCTCCCGCGTTTCTGGCCCGCCCACACAATGGGGTCCTGACTGCACCCCCTAGCTGGCACGCGCCTCTCAATTTGTCTTTAACGCAACTGATGGGGTAGAGAGAGAGAGAGAGAGAGAGAGAGAGAGAGAGAGAGAGAGCAGGGTGGATTGTGTAATACATTAATAAGAAAATAATCATACCACTGGTGTAAAGTACAAGAGTAACTTAATAATCATCATCTACAGTATATGAACAGATCACCAAGAGCTTTTGTTTGTATATTAGTAAATACACTCGGTCTACCGAGCTGGATTTGGTCTACCGGGATATTTAGACTGTAGCATCCATTAACCTAACGTAACCTAATCTAGGTTTGGTTAGGTTAGGTTAAAATATATTAGATTAATTTAGGTTAGGTTAGGTTAATGGATGATAGTGTAAATATCCCGATAGGCTAACTCCAACTCGGTAGACCGTATACTATAGTAGCATCAAAATATCTCTGACTTGAGGATCATTCTTGTCTTATTAATATGCTCTATACAATATTAATAGATATATAATGTTACTATATCAATCGAATCCTAAATAATACAACAAAAACAAAAGAGACTATATATAAAATTGGAAGCCATAGATTCAATAGTTTATACTGTATAGGCCTAGAAAGGGGAGGGAGTGAGTTATGTGTAGGTGGTGACGGACGGGGCGGAGTAATATCACACCCACTGACACCAGACACTCGTGGGCACCCGAGATCGACACCCGCCACCCTGTCCACCCGGCCCCGGCCCTCCAACACACCGCTGGACACGAGTAAAGGGAATTTTTTCACAAGGCTGCCAAAGAGAAATGCTTCGCTGGCTATTTTCCCGCCAAAAACCAACGCCATCTATATTCTACACTAAACATTAACTTATAACTTAGTGTTTAAACAGTCAGGATTGTTAATGTACTTTTTATTGTATGTTAGTGCAAAATTTATTATTAATTTTGTCTATTCACTCGTAAGTTATCTTTGCAAGCAAGAGAATGTTGGAGAATTAATAATTTATGAATTTTAACTAAATTCATGTTAGGGAAACAAATAAAAAGTAGTTAATATACTAGTAGTACTGTTATTATTATTATTATTACTCGTAGTAGTAGTAGTAGTAGTGGTAATAATAACAGCAATAAAGAGTAGTACTGTTATTAATCCCTGCATAACCATTACCAACACTAACAAAATCCCCAAAATTATCCATATCACAATGCAGCAGTAACCCCCCTGTTCCCCCCTACCTGCATCCCCTTGACCCCCACATGCTCACCTGACCCCACCTGCCGTGCCACACTCCTATATACCTGAACTTACTTGTTAATAAATTGCCCACACCTCTGTGATCCACCTGCCCACAACTCCCTCCCGCACACACGCCATCCGCCGCCCCTGCAGTCTCAAGTGTAAAAACCTTATTTTTAATTTTAGATAGAATAACGTTATGATAGATTACACATAACGACTTAGGAGTATAACTAACCTAACCATATCTAACCTAACCTAACCTTATCTAACCAAACTTAAGTTAACCTAACCTAATCTAATCAGAACATAATGTAACCTAACCTAATTAAGATTGATTAATCTTACTTAACCAGATTTAAACAGATTAATCGAACCTAACCTGACGCTATTAGGGGGGGATGATTTTATGTTATGTTAGGTTATGTTAGGATAGGTTAGCTTATGTTAGGTTATGTTAGGATAGGTTAGCTTATGTTAGGTTATGTTAGGATAGGTTAGCTTATGTTAGGTTATGTTAAGATAGGTTAGCTTATGTTACGTAAGGTTAGCGTTATGGTGGTTAATCTTTAGGTGAAATAAGCTGGGGTGGAGATTCTTCAGGTCATCCTCAAAGTTTTAAATAACATAATATAAATATGTTTTCAAAAAGAAACAGACACTTTTAAGGACGAAAATTCTTGACTAGAATTAGAATCTTTAAAAGTGAATTCCTGATAACTAAAACGAATTAGAAACCTATAAATAAAAACTTTAAAACAATTAGAAACTTTTAAAGAGAATTAAACAATTTTACAAGATTATTACACATGTTTACATTAACTAAGAACTTTATAATAAAAACAAATTACACGTTTTTGAAGAGAATTGCGAATTTTGAGTTCGAAGTCTTTTGTTATAGAATTAGAAGACGTAAAATATATTAGAGAGTTATGCAAGAGGGTTACAAACATTTATTCTAAGTAAAGGCGAGGGAGGAGGTGGAAGGTGAGGGAGGAGGTGGAAGGTGAGGGAGGAGGTGGAAGAGAGGGGAGGAGGGGAAGATGAGGGAGGAGGGGAAGGGGAGGGAAAAAGGTAAGGGAGAAGGGGAGGGAGGAAGGTGAGAGAGAAGGGAAAGGCGAGGAAGAAAGTTGAGGGAGGAGGGAGAAAGGTGAGGGAGGAGGGAGGAAGGCGAGGGAGGAGGGAGGAAGGCGAGGGAGGAGGGGGAAGGTGAGGGAGGAGGGCCACAGGTATCGACTCACCTGGGCCATAACTTAGATACTCGGGACAGGTGAGTATGAGACAGACCAGGTGGTGGTGGACCCCTCACCTGGTAGGACAAGGTGAGGGAGGAGGAGGAGAAAGAGAAAGAGGAGATCATTATCTAGTTAGCAGGGGAAGGTGACTGGTACGAGAGAGAGAGAGAGAGAGAGAGAGAGAGAGAGAGAGAGAGAGAGAGAGAGAGAGAGAGAGAGAGAGAGAGAGAGAGAGAGAGAGAGAGAGAGAGAGAGAGAGAGACTTTGTAATACACACTAAAAAAAATACAACACCCCTTGCTATTTCACCAATACTTTCAAATAACCCCTAAATCAACTTCTTTTTTCCTTCCTATATCAAATGTATCGTCCTCACCAAATACTACCTATACCTACTACGATGCCTACCTGGGATAATTAACCTGAAGGAGGTG